TGAAATCACGTGCTCGGTATGGGCTAATCCCACTCGGCAAATCTCGACAGATTCCGTTACCCTACATCTAATCTCGGCTGTATGACAGTAAGTGATATGTACCTACGCCCATACATTTGCGATGCGGCTGCCGGTTTACTTTAAACAGGAAAACGTGTCGCTTTTACAAAAAAGTCCCAAATTGCGTCTTTTGTAGAGTGTATATACCTAAATGAGCAGAGATATTGTCTCAAGGCTGCTGGTTTGATAAAACTCCCTGGTAATTCCCCAAAGCCAATACCAAACGTGACGTTTGTTGATATAATACACTCTCCACAGAAATCTCCATTTTTCATTCGGAACCTTTAAAATAGTTCAAATATGGCGGATGTGGTGATACAGCCGAGATTAGATGCGTAGAATCTGTCGAGGTTTGCCGAATGGGGCTAATCCGGGCCTTCGATAAATAAAATGAATTGAAAGTAGTCTATTTTTAGTAACCCATTTCTTTGCTCAAAATAAAACTGCTTTTATCTCTTCTAAAGTATGTAATCATGAATGTGCCAGAAAATAACAAGTAGATTTAAAGAGCCATAGAAACCTTCTTTCCGGTGATATATGACACAATAACTAGAATTTCGTATTAAGACACGTATTTTGACATTAAACACTCGCCCCACCCCACCACTATCTTTGTTTCAGCCAGTGAAGGCTACCAAACTTGTATCAACTTTAATTTAAAACGTATATATGCATTCCGCCTAAAATATAATAAATACATTTCAAAAGAGGATTAACTGTACTTTTCAGTATAGATCTACGGAATTTTAGATTAAGCCCCGCATTTTAATATCAAATACCCCCCCACACCTTTTCTTTCACTTTTCAAGGCAAGTAAATATAAATGTGCCAGAAAATTATTTATATATTTAAAAAGAGTAGTGAACGTGCTTTCTACTGATATGTAGCATGATATCTGGAATTTCGTATTAAGACCCGTATTTTTACTTTAAATACCCCCCCCCCCCATTATTTAATAGATTTTTGTACCGTTCGTCTTTGGTCACCTCTCTAAGGCAAGTAAATATGAATGTGCCAGAAAATAATTTATATATTTGAAAAGAGAAATGAATTTGCTTTTCAGTGCATTGTAACATGATATCTGGAATTTCGTATTAAGACCCGTATTTTTACTTTGAATACCCCACCCCCATCATTCAATAGAGTTTTGTTTCACTCGACTTTGATCATCTATAAAGGTAAGTAAATATAAATGTGCCAGAAAATTATTTATATATTTGGAAATTGTTACTTTAAATACCCCCCCCCCCCCACAGCATTTAATAGATTTTTGAACCGTTCGTTTTGATCACCTCTCAAGGTAAGTAAATATAAATGTGCAAGAAAATTATTTATATATTTGAAACGAGAAATGAATGTGCTTTTCAGTGATATGTGACATGATATCAGGAATGTCGTATTAAGACCCGTATTTTTACTTTAAATACAGCCCCACCCCAGTCATTTAATAGATTTTTGTGCCGTTCGTCTTTGATCACCTCTCAAGGCAAGTAAATATGAATGTGCCAGAAAATTATTTATATATTTGGAAAGAGCAGTGACCGTGCTTTCTACTGATATCTAGCAAGATATCTGGAATTTCGTATTAAGACCCGTATTTTTACTTTAAATACCCCCCCATCATTTAATAGATTTTTGTACCATTCGTCTTTGATCACCTCTTAAAGCAAGTAAATATGAATGTGCCAGAAAAGTATTTATATATTTGTAAAGGGCATAGTACGTGCTTTCTACTGATATGTAGCATGATATCTGGAATTTCGTATTAAGAACCGTAATTAGACATTCAATACCCCCACCCCATCAGTAATTCCCTAATAGAGTTCAGCATTATCCAACTTTGATAGCTTGTCAAGGCAAGTACATATAAATGTGCCAGAAAATTATTTATATATTTGAAAAGAGAAATGAACGTGCTTTCTACTGATATGTAGCATGATATCAGGAATTTCGTATTAAGACCCGTATTTTTACTTTAAATACCCCCCCCCCCCCATCATTTAATAGATTTTTGTACCGTTCCTCTTTGGTCACCTGTCAAGGCAAGTAAATATGAATGTGCCAGAAAATTATTTATATATTTAGAAAGAGCAGTGAGCGTGCTTTCTATTGATATCTAGCATGATATCTGGAATTTCGTATTAAGACCCGTATTTTTACTTTAAATACCCCCCCCCCCTCTATCATTTAATAGATTTTTGTACCATTCGTCTTTGATCATCTCTTAAAGTAAGTAAATATGAATGTGCCAGAAAATTATTTATATATTTGTAAAGGGCAGTAAACGTGCTTTCTACTGATATGTAGCAATTTCGTATTAAGAACCGTAATTAGACATTGAATACCCCCCACCCCCATCAGTAATTACCTAATAGAGTTCAGTATTATCCAACTTTGATAGCTTGTCAAAGTAAGTAAATATTAATGTGCCAGAAAATTATTTATATATTTGAAAAGAGAAATGAACGTGCTTTCTACTGATATGTAGCATGATATCAGGAATTTCGTATTAAGACCCGTATTTTTACTTTAAATTCCCCCCCCCCCCATCATTTAATAGATTTTTGTACCGTTCGTCTTTGGTCACCTCTCAAGGCAAGTAAATATGAATGTGCCAGAAAATTATTTATATATTTAGAAAGAGCAATGGCCGTGCTTTCTACTGATATCTAGCATGATATCTGGAATTTCGTATTAAGACCCGTATTTTTACTTTAAATACACCCCCCCCCCCCATCATTTAATAGATTTTTGTACCATTCGTCTTTGATCATCTCTTAAAGCAAGTAAATATGAATGTGCCAGAAAATTATTTATATATTTAGAAAGAGCAGTGACCGTGCTTGCTACTGATATCTAGCATGATATCTGGAATTTCGTATTAAGACCCGTATTTTTACTTTAAATACCCCCCCGCCATCATTTAATAGATTTTTGTACCGTTCGTCTTTGGTCACCTCTCAAGGCAAGTAAATATGAATGTGCTAGAAAATTATTTATATATTTAGAAAGAGCAGTGACCGTGCTTTCTACTGGTATCTAGCATGATATCTGGAATTTCGTATTAAGACCCGTATTTTTACTTTAAATATTACGGTTCTTAATACGAAATTCCAGATATCATTAAATGATGGGGGGGGGGGTATTTAAAGTAAAAATACGGGTCTTAATACGAAATTCCAGATATCATGCTAGATATCAGTAGAAAGCACGGTCACTGCTCTTTCTAAATATATAAATAATTTTCTGGCACATTCATATTTACTTGCCTTGAGAGGTGACCAAAGACGAACGGTACAAAAATCTATTAAATGATGGGGGGGGGGGATTTAAAGTAAAAATACGGGTCTTAATACGAAATTCCTGATATCATGCTACATATCAGTAGAAAGCATGTTCATTGCTCTTTTCAAATATATAAATAATTTTCTGGCACATTTATATTTACTTACCTTGACAAGCTATCAAAGTTGGATAATACTGAACTCTATTAGGTAATTACTGATGGGGGTGGGGGTATTCAATGTCTAATTACGGTTCTTAATACGAAATTCCAGATATCATGCTACATATCAGTAGAAAGCACGTTCACTGCCCTTTACAAATATATAAATAATTTTCTGGCACATTCATATTTACTAGCCTTTAGAGGTGATGAAAGACGAACGGTACAAAAATCTATTAAATGATGGGGGGAGGGGGTATTTAAAGTAAAAATACGGGTCTTAATACAAAATTCCAGATATCATGCTAGATATCAGTAGAAAGCACGGTCACTGCTCTTTCTAAATATATAAATAATTTTCTGGCACATTCATATTTACTTGCCTTGAGAGGTGACCAAAGACGAACGGTACAAAAATCTATTAAATGATGGAGGGGGGGGATATTTAAAGTAAAAATACGGGTCTTAATACGAAATTCCAGATATCATGCTACATATCAGTAGAAAGCACGTTCACTAATCTTTTTAATATTTGATATTAAAATGCGGGGCTTAATCTAAAATTCCGTAGATCTATACTGAAAGGTAAAGTTAATCCTCTTTTGAAATGTATTTATTATATTTTAGGCGGAATGCATATATACGTTTTAAATTAAAATTGATACAAGTTTGGTAGCCTTCGCTGGCTGAATTAAAGATAGTGGTGGGGTGGGGCGAGTGTTTAATGTCAAAATACGTGTCTTAATACGAAATTCCAGTTATTGTGTCATATATCACCGGAAAGAAGGTTTCTATGGCTCTTTAAATCTACTTGTTATTTTCTGGCACATTCATGATAACATACTTTAGAAGAGATAAAAGCATTTTTATTTTGAGCAAAAAAAATGGGTTACTAAAAATAGACTACTTTCAATTCATTTTATTTATCGAAGGCTCGGATTAGCCCATACCGAGCTCGTGATTTCACTGAAGTCATGGTCATCCAGCGAATTTGTAAGTGACGGCCAGCTTGATTCGCAGTTAGTGACGGGTGGGTATTCTTAGTGAAGGATGAGAAAGTGACGGCTGATTTGATCTCGGCTCCCCACACAAACATACAGATATTGTACCCGAGCGAGAAATTGTTCCTCATGCAAAATCATGGGTCACCACGCCCCTGCCCCTCCCCCACCTATGGTACTTCCACAGAGTAAAAATACACTCTGTGGTACTTCGCCGAAGGGTCCAGGGATATCTGCTTGTGTGATCCTCTGCTCGCGTGACAATGCTGCAATTTACATGTAATTTGCAATGGATCCAATTTTAAGCAGGCTATGGCATAGGCCCTAAAATGCTTCCATCTACAAAAGAATAAAAATGCGACAGCCTGACTGCGCGGATGACTTAACTGTAGTTGGCGTCAGTTTTGTTGCATGAAAACCCATCATTTGTGTGCCGCAAGTTCGCAACGTACCAAGCCTTTGTTAACTTGACAGCCAATGCTGGGCTGCTGGTCGATTTGTAAACAAACCTTTAAGTCACGTGGTGCTTGGAAAACTGGTTGAAACGGGTTGTGTTGTGGTATAAACCAGAATATTCTGTGCAACAGTGACAATCAACAGTAACAAGTTCAATCCGGTAAGAATTTTATTTATTCCGCAAGTTCCCCCAGTATTTAGGGACAAATTAATATGATCTAAGACGATATTGTTGACCATGGACTCGTGCTGAATAAGATTTGAATGAAACTAGGTCAAAATATCAGCTGTTTTCTGAAAAGACTATTCATTATCATTATCACTCAGTGATAACATTAACCTGCATTGCAAATATTATTATTAACGGTTATACTTGGCACTCTGAATTATCTAGTCTGTTCTAAATCGAATAAATTCCGAAAACAATATGTATTTGGCGAAATCAAATGGCTATTTTACTTTTAAAAATGTGCCTGAAATTGAAATTATAACTGGAGCTTCAGAATCTACTACTGTTCTAGTTTTTCGGGACCTATCACTCACTTACTTACTACTTAAAATATGATGACTTATAGGCCTATATCTAGGGGCCAAAATATTGGAAATAAGATGATATTCTTTGAGACACTTCCTAGAGTAGAAACAATTTATCATTCAATTTCTAAAAAAATGGTCCACGAGAAATGTAAATTGTCAACAATTTACATATTTTCTTAAAGCGTAATAACATAAGTTCTTGGTTTTGTTCACAAAATGATAAGTAGATCTACAATGAATGAGTCACACACTTATTGTTTTTTTATGTTAAAATAATTTGCAATGATACATTTTGTCCAAAGGTTTGTAGACCCTCTATTCATATAGTTTGAAAACATAGAAGATTTCTAAAGAAATAAATTAATAATTTTGTGTTTTTCTCTTGTTAATGGACTGTAATTATTTCAATTTTTGTGTTATTATTATGCAAGTTTTCAATTGAATATAAACTTAGGTCAAGACATGTAGAATGGGAATACTGCAACTCGTTTAGTTCAATGTGTAAGCTATCAGGTGCAATGCCCCCATGTGCAAAAAAAATATTTGATGGGAGGCAAGTTAGACAGATTTGTGCAGATTCAAGTTGTTAACTTCTATATGCAGTGACCTAGTTGTTTAACTTGAAAAGTGTATGGCACAAACTGTGTTTTTTCAGCTGCCAAATGCATCACAATATAATTCCAAATCATGTAGGTAATATAGACCCAGGACATTTATTAATTCTGTTCAAAAAGAAAATCCTTTAAATGTAAATCAGATCCAATAATTGCATATGTGTATGCCCCCCCCCACCCACCCACCCTCCCCTTAACTTAAGGAATTATAAGATATGCCACCCACAGTAAATGTTGAACTTATGGGAGATTTAGTTCTAGGACCGAGTCTTCTCCTAGCTATGTCACTGATATCAGCCGATTGCCAGCTACATGTAGATATACATAGACTTGATCTGTATGTCCCATTGAGTCAAGATCTACAGAAACGAAAATCAAGGTCAGAAACAGCTGATTATCAACATATTTTGGCAGTTTGTCAACAGTTTCTAGCTTTAAGGCTGATCTGCCAACCTATACATACTAACTGGTTTGATACAAACTAGTGCTAAATGTTTTTTTAATAACTGTTAGATTGTTGAGATTTACGCTATAAGAATGGAAATTGTGCTGTATAAGTAAGCTTATTTAGAATTGACGCACACTAATCTCGTTGGATACATCTGATCTATGAGTGAAAATACATAGGTTACGGTATGTAATCATTGACAAGTTACCTATATATTGAAGATACTCTGTTTTATAGGCTTTAAGCTAGTGGAACTAATTGCTGGCATTACTTCTAAAGGAGAAACAACCTATTTGTGACCAAAAGGAAAATAAATAAAACCCAGTAAGTTTTATAAATTTAATTCATTATTGACATTGAAATAAAAAAAAAATCCCAAAGTTTACCTTTTTTGCAAAAAATTAAATCAATGATAACTGCGCTTCCATTGTTTAAACCATTACTGATACCAATAACTGATTTATATTATTTTGAAATCTTCTGTATCTATAATGGCACCTACTGATTTTTTACTCCCTTACGAAAATATAAATTAAGTTCTCTTTGTGTTTTGTTTTGCATTCTCCACATTTGGGAACTCCTGTCTTTCATTTGTATAGGGTGCCACTGTGGCTCAGTGAGTAAGATTTGGTCCTGTGTAGCTTCCACTCGTCAGTGGTGCAAGACTGTGGGCTTGGCTAGGAAAAGCGCCAAGTAATTTGGATGATAGGAAAAAAACAGGTGCCATGTAAAATAACCCTTGACAATTCGATTTCCCTCGTGGCACATTGTACGGCATATGCCCCTCTTCATTAGCCCGGTTAATGCAGAAAAGTAGAACGATTAAATACCATTTCATTCATTCATATATGTTGTCTCGTAATTTTCCACAGTGATAGTTAATTGTTATGGAACATTGAATATTTTGTAATTTTTTTAAACATGGCTTAGACTGAACTAGATTTTTACTCAGATGCGAATAAATGCTTGTAAGTTTGGTTATGAGAAACTTTGGAAGAAATTAAATATCGAACAAGTGGCATGCACACAAAAAGACGTCCTATAGTACTTGTATTTTGACAAAGTTTACGACAATGATTTGGCGATCTTAGTTTCAACAAAATCCTAGTTACCCCCCTTCTCCCACTCTAAATATTTTTATGGAATTTTTTGATTGGTCAATAAAAATAGCACAATTATCAAGGGCGTGTAATTCGACTGTCTTGTCTGTGAATGGACCCACAGGGCAGTGGAGTAGAACGGAACGATACCGCTGGGGATACCGAGGATGGTTGCTGTTGGGCATACATCCCACATTGGGAATCTTTGAGTTATATCATTGAGAATATGCATAGTAGTAATCGTATCTTCAGGTATAGGCAAACTGGCAGTTATATTGACCACACACCGTCAATGTTGACATTGAAATATTTTCCAGACTTGACAAAAATATTTTTTTTATTTATTGATTAAGAGTAAAACAATAAGTATAAGACTTAATGTATGGAAAATTTTGGTGTAAATGTCTTTGTTATAAATTATTAAAACTTTGTATTGATAATTTGTACATTGTTGACTGTTACACATGAATGTTAGTAAATTTAATTTGGCTGTTATTGTTATTATACATACATAATAAATTAATATTATAAAGCCAAAGATCATTATGAATTCAAAGATACTATAAGCTTATATGATTTATGACATTGGAATGTGATTAACCCTACCAGTCAAGGCTGGCCGACAAAAAAACAAACACCCGGTTTAACCACATAGTTAGGTAGTTTTGGCCACCTTTTCTTGGTTAAAACTGGTCAAATCTCAATTTGATAAAATTAAGATTGCAAACTAATTAAATTTTTTTTTTTTCTCCTGTAATTCCACTGCAATAATAATGTAGATGGCTTAAAAGAATTGTATGATTTACACCACTACTAAGTTTTTGAACAGACATGAAAGAAGGCACAAAGTGTTCTTAAAATTCTGAAATATTCAATGATGACCCACTCAAGTGCAAAACAATTCATTTTACAATTAAAAAATATAATGTAAGAAAGATTTAAATGGGCGTACTGTTGTAATGGGCTTGTCATCAAAACATTTACATAGCTCTACCAATTGGGTACATTTTATTTAACAGACTGACTTAAAATTTCTACACAATGCCTGGCACCCTAATCTTCTAAATTGTTGTTTTTGTTAGATTGCTGCTATTGTATTATTTACTGTATAGATGTGCATTTTTCTGTTTTACATGTATCTACTTCTGAATATTAGATCAAATTGCATACAATGTATCAACAATTTATACAAACTATTTTGTATGGTGAAATCAGCAAAAATATTATCTTTATGCTAAAAACATGATAGAGTAATTCTGATGTAATCAATCATTTCTAGGGAAGTGCCTGGGAATAAACATAATTATTTACTGATAACATATAACAAGTGTAGTTTTTGTAATGAACATTGCTATTATTATTAGCACTTTGCATACCTTCAAAGTTGTCATCCTCTTAATCATATTGACTTGGTGAGTAATGTCCAAGGAAACTAAAAAGTGAAAATAGTCATTGATTTAGACACAGACTTCCAAAATTTTTCAAATGATGTTGCTATTGAAATCAAATTTAGGCTTACCATTAATTTAGTTTCTCATTATACACTGTACTGTAGGTCATAAGTATATTGCTGTGGTGGTTACATGTATCATCTTTGAATAGTTGCCTAAAGACTACTGGTATTATATTAGTATTATGTCCTACACCACATGGTTTATAGTTTTAACAAATTTGTACCATGTATGTTGGTTGGAGCACCTTATAAGGGCAAATTTATATACCTGTACAAATGTACATGTAATATAATTGACCTCTTAACCTAACCCACTTCATGGTTATCATTCAAAATTGATAGGAATGTTCAATTGTTATCTTGGTAGTGTCTATTCAGATTTGTCCAAAGGAAGGCGCTTTATCGCTTAGAGAAGTTGCAGGTACATGTACTACCCAAAAACATTTTCTCTTAATTGAGGAATTTATACATAAGATAGACACATCATATTAATATATGATAAATAGAAAGTAACCACCAAAAAGATTTATCAAGTCTAATCAGGTGAACCTACACAGTTCTGAGCCAAATTTGAAATTATAATGCAATGAACAATTTTTATACACTTTTATTTTCAGTTATGTCAGAGTATGGATCTAAAGATTTGAGAATGGAGGATAGTGATTGTGATGATACCGTCAGTTATGTCTCTAGTCCAAACTTAACTCCACTGCCAATAAAGAAATTCAAGCCACCTGAATCTGATGCAGGAACCGATCTGTTACCAGTTTGTAGAATCTGTCAACTTCCTGGCGATGAAAAGGAAATATTATTTGCTCCCTGTAGATGTTCGGGTACTCTTCGATATGTTCATTATGCGTGTTTGTTGGTAGGTTTATCTCCATATTTACATTTTAATTTGTACTTGAATTTTCTTATCAAAAAGATATTGGGAATTATTTATGAAAATATGATGTGGTATTTGCCATATTGTATGTACATGTTTATACATACAGTATGAGTGTTGTCCTGAATGAATTTTTCAGTACAATAAAATTTTATCTAATCTTTTGTTAGTCTTTAGTGACTATCTTATTTTTACCGGTAATCAGTCTGAGAATGGAATATTATTCAGAGCATTTAACACATTTAATCAAGAACAATAACAGGGTTTAGCTGTGTCTCAATTTTCCTTCGCTCAACCCAATTGACACCTTTGTACTTGTAAGTACCTTATGATAAATTATTATGTACTGGTATCTGACACTAAATTGGAAATTATATGTACCATATCCATTTTCCTTCGCTCAACCCAATTGACACCTTTGTACTTGTAAGTACCTTATGATAAATTATTATGTACTGGTATCTGACACTAAATTGGAAATTATATGTACCATATCCTTTTTCAGAAATGGCTAGAAATACTCACTAAGAAAGGCAAGAGACCACCACACTGTGAACTCTGCCGCTTCCATTACATTCGTCACAAAAGATTTAAGGTGAGGAATCTGTCTTAGTTTTTCATCAATTTTTATCTTTATGTTATGTGTTGTGTATTTAAATGTAAGATGAATAGATTGAATTTTAATATGTTTTTCTTCCCCCTTTTCTCCTGCCCTATTTTATAATTAGATCTCATCTCTCTCTCAAGCTGTTAAAATTTTGGTAGCCATTCTATAAGCTTAGGGAGATGGATATAACCATATATTTGTAGAAGAGGTTAAGGGATTATTAGGTTTAAGGGTTTGAATGATATGAGAGATGTGACTGGGTGGAACATTTTGTTCTGTGGTTTCCATTATGTTGATGCTTAAATATAAATAAACCTTAATCATAAAGAACCCAATTCTCTTAACAGTGCAACAGATCTTGTTTTCATGTCAAAAAGTGACCGCAGTTGGTTGCCTATTGGCATACCCTTGTCATCGACTATGATCCTGCTTTATGAAAGGTGTGCAGAGCTGCTGATGCAGAAAGTTGACCAACCACATGTGATGCATGATCCAACAGAAGAGAGCGGAAAACATGTGATATTGAGGCTATTTTATTTACTTTCAGCACTGTGAGAGTGAGCAACCAGAAATTGAGTGAAGTTCAGTTATTCTGCTGTCTTCAGTTTAAAGCGTTTGTACAAGATGTACATGCTGTCCGAGATATTCCATTCTACTTGTTGTTGTAATTGAGAACGAAACCCCCATCTTTAAAAAGAAAAAAAGATGACAAGTAGGAATGTATAATGGTTAAGTAGTGAAGGTAGCCCTTTTTTCTCTTTTTAATATGTGTTTTTTTTTACTTACAGTCATCAACATTTTTTCTTTGGTTTTTTAAAAATATCCTCATAGTGTTTTTTTTCTTTTATTTTCAGTTCCATAATTGGAGATTTCCAAGAGTGAATATCAGAGACAAGTGCCTCCATGCCATTTTTTTCTTCAACTTGTTAATCATGGTATCCTGTGCTATAGCAACAGCATTGTGTTTCCTCTCAGACAAAGGACAGGTTATGAAATACCCCAAGAACAAAGTGGAGCTGACCACGGAAGAAGTGATCACCCTGACCTGTGGAGTAATGTTTTTTGTGTCTTTCTTTATTGCCATGACTGTTGAAATAAAGGCTAAACATACTATTTATAAACTGTTTACTAAGTTTGTTACTCACAATACAGAATGGCAGATAGAGCCGTATGATAAAAGTGCTGATTTATATTATGGGCCACCGCAGATGGTATAGATAAATGTTAAATTACAGATCTGAACACTAATACTGGATATACCGTACTGATCGGCCTGTATTATATTTAATCACTCTGTTAATTATTTACAGTTAAATATATTATCAAAATAACCTGAACTACCAGATATCTGTAACTCTACTTCAGTTTTTTCTGTGTATTTTATTGGTGTCACCCATAATTAGCTTAAAAACTCCTAATTTAATTTATGCAGTAAAAGATGTCTCAAGAAAAATGTATGTATAGACACTTTTGCTGATTAATTTGAAGGAATTTGATACTCAGTTGATAAAGAGGCATTATCACTTTCACCAGCAACATAAATAAAATTATTTGAATAATATTTTATTTTCAAAGTAACTATTTACACCAAGAAAATAAATGTAATTACCATTAATTTTGAATGATTTTAATAATAATATGCAAAATACCCGTAACCAAAAACCCAAGTATGGACCTACTTAGGGAAAGGTACATGTATTTTGTGCAAGTGGCCATTATAGTTATAGCCCTTGAAAATCATTGTAGGACTCCTGAATTGATAGTCAAATCTATATCTTCGATAATTTAGTAGATTTGTCTCCAATTTTGCATACAGTCTAATTTGACATGCACAATGGAACTATTGTGGAAGGTCCAACTGAAAATTAATTTCACCTGCCTCCAAAGTGCGGATGCCTCTTTAAGCTTACATAGAGATATGGTTGAATAAGACTCTAATTAATATGTATAACCATGTATCAGCTTAATTTATTTGGCATTTTAAGCATCATAAAGCTACTACAGGAAACTCTTATAGATGTAAATTTATACAATTTGAAGTGATTGTATTATTATTTAGGTTATGAGTTTATTAGGGTACCAAAACTGACACGTTAAAAGTCATCTGTGAGGAATATGATATATAATTGAAGTTATTCTTTGTAGAATTATTATCCATGGCTACAAGAAATGAACATGTATTAAAATGTAAATAATTTGATATACTTATATGACAATGCAAATGGTTTCTCATGAAAATATTTATTCTGAGGCGGAATTTTTCTTGAAAATCTTATTCCAGAGTTAAATTTTCCTTTAAAATTTTCATTCTGCAGAAATATTTCTTGAATTATATGTTCCAGTGATGAATTTCTATGGAAATAAAACATGACGAGATAAGCATAATTAATGCCATGCTCAATTATGCATTTATATGTAAAAAAAATCTCCAGTCATTTTTATGGTTATTTTTCAAATAAAATTTTGTAAATAATGAATAGAAATAAGCCCCAAAATGTACATATTGAGAACAGCACATCATTGTATATAGTACTGTTTGTATGGAATTCTCACAGGAACTCTTGTATATATTTTGTTTTGTGAGTGCTAAAAGCTATATATGCATAATATAATGTGTCATCTAAAACTGGGGGAATACCAGAGGCTTCCTTCCAGGCTAAATATATTATTGTCTCCAAATATTAAACAATAAATTCATGTATTAGCACATATGTATCATGTTTTTAAATATTGTGCCTTACATGTATAGAAAATGTTTCATTGTGTTTCTAAACATTAAAATATACATCATACTTACCTATATCTTAGTAAATTCATTCATCTGTTTGTAATAAACATTTCACTATTTTCAATATGGTGACAGGCTGATTAATTAATGTGTTTGAGTGTATAATGTATAATTTCGTCTTCACATGCACTTTAAACCCTTCATGTCTTTCAGTCATTTATCAAATTTGATGAGATTATATGTGAGTTAAATTTAAGAAATTTTTTTACACATTTATCTTAATAAGCTTGTAATATATATGTGACAGATTTAGTGTGGTTTAGCTGAGAATTAATTCTAAAATAAATGGCAAATTAAATTATTTTGATTTGAATGTCCCATGACGTGTTTTAACGAATGCAGTGAATGTCTGATGTGTGACATTATACAGATTTGTTAGTAAATATAGTTTAATAAGGGTATTACTTATATAGGAAGATTGTTCTGGTTGGCATAACTTCATATTGCTCATAGCTTTATTATTTTCTCCATTCAGAAGGCGGAAGACAGTGGTGGACTTGCAATCATGTTATTGTACACACATGTTGTTTTGCATTGTTTCATTTTGGAAATGTTCAATTAGAACACCATTTTTTGTTGAAAACACTTATGGTCTCTTAGCAAAATGAAAAAATATACATGTGTGCGCAAAATTTATTCTAACACAGCTAAGCCCACTGTGCAACTGACTAAATTTCATGCCACTGTGAGAAGACAAAATTAAACATTGATAGGCCTGATCAAATAATCATTCTGGTCATTTATTAATTATTAGTTACTACATTAATTTTCAGGGTGTTTTACGTTTGTTATTGTTTATGTTTGTTATTTTTATTTTCTCTAATTGAAAAACAAAACTCTATAATAAGTATTACACTTTTATTTAATAGATATGATATTCCTAATTATAACAATTACAAATTGTCTCTAGAAATACAGTTTTCTTTTTTTATTGCATATCTTGCCACAATTCAGCAGTTTAATCAAATAACTGTGGTTCTCTATATCGTAGAATTTCTTCATTAATTTTATATGTTCAGTTATTATTTGACTTTGTTCAAATGATAATAAATTTTAATACTCTTTTGTTCTATCGTCTATTTATAATGTCCAAATAAATCAGAGTAAGTTTTTGTATTAGTAGTTTATAAGTCATATTTTTAGTTTAAAATATATTATTTTGAGTTAAATATGAATTTGTGTTTGTTTACTCAGTACGGTATGATTGAGTGAAGATTAAATAATAAAATACCTTTAATGGTCGACCAACTAATTTTACTGACCTGATTGTTTGATAAACAGTGAAATTATTGATGTGTCATTAATATTTTCTATGAAAATAAATGTTAATTATTATTAATTATTATGTGGATTAATTAGATTGTTTTAGTCATGTTGACTACTGCTTATTAAGAAGGCCTTTTATCAACATTACAAATCAACCAAACTTAAACTCATCCATTACATACGGTTGTACAAAGAAGGAAAAAATATTTGGCAGTTACTTTTAATAAATTATCCTCGGTTTCGTGTTACTGAATACAGCAGAATTTCGCCAGATTCAATTATTGAGCTGTGAAATTAGAACATGTTGAGATTCCACCGTGCTGGTAGTGAGTTGTTGTTATTAGTTCAATTGTAATGTTAACATAAGGTATTGAATGATACCCACAATAATGAACCAATGATTATGTTACAGATTATTTTGTATATATATATATAATATATCACAGTAATTACTACAGTGATTTTTGTGATGACATTAAATCCAAAAATGTTTAACTATTAACATAAAATATGTGTATAATAATTATTGTAAATATAGTGCTATATGTGAGTGTTCTTTATGTTATTTCAATTATTGATTAAATTATTATAACATACTTGAGGACAAAATTATATTTTATTCTCTTCATTTGTTTAATTGTTATATTGTTATTTGATATAAGAATGTTAAGATATCTTTGTGTGTAGTGCTAGTAATAAATGTTATGTAGATAAAATCACAGTGTACATGTGACCTATTATTTGTATTATAATTTATGCACATTATGTAATGGTATGGTATAATTCATGTAAGAAAGTTATTGTATGATTATAATCTATGGGATATGTTTTTATGCCATTCTCTGAATTGTTTTGTGATGTTCATTGCATTTCTATACTTTTTCACATTAAAAATATCAAATAAACACGGTTTGTTACTGTTTGTCTATTTTGTCAAACAATATCTGATATTATTGGAGGTTGTTTTTTTTTCAAGTGCCTTTTGTTGAAATGTTTGAAGTTGTTGAGTGAGCACACCATATTTGACATAAAAGAACAAATATTATGTTTGCATTTATACAACATTCTTTGTAGTGAGTAACAATTAGTTTCTGCCAAGACCGGTATTGAACTTATTATATAATAGGACACATCTCATTTATTATTTGACAAGCTCGCATGACTATAGCAATCTTGTACTGACATGTTGGAATATCTATTGATTTTGCACATTTGGCAAAAATCTACTTGTGAATAAAATACCTTTTATGGAAGCAGAGAATGGAAGAAATTGTTAAAAAAAAGTATTGGTTAGGATATTAGCTTTGATTGTCTTGAAAAAGCAAGGAGCATCCCTATATACTTAAAGCAGATTTGATGTGACTACAGTTTCTGAAATTCATTTCAGCTGGCCAGTGTTTCATAAATAAAGTACTAATTCTTCAGATGTGGGGAGTGAAAAAAGTCATGTTTCTTTCATGTAAAATGGTTAAAATAGACCATAAGTATGTATTCAAACTTCTAAACTTGACAAAAGACTTCCCTTTTTTTTACTCCAGAAAAAATAGTAATTTGGCATCTTTTCACTGTATACCGTGAACTGTTTCATGTATTTTATAAATGATAATAGAATAATCACACACCAATTGGCACTATTAAAACCAAAATCAAAACAACACCTATGGTTTATGCAAGCAGTCCATAGTCAAGACTGATATTACCTAACTATTTTTGAAACTACGCCAAAATACTCCTATCTTTATCCCCATATCTGCCCATCTACTGTTAGTCTAGAAATGAGACAGGGGAAATTTCCATACTAGAATTTATTATCCCAGTTGTACATATAGTTTATGAAGGTCAAGTTGGCCTATATCTACACGTTGGCTGGTGTCAGCATATCTTTAGAATAGTTTAGTGTTATTGACCTGTACAATCAGCTGACCTACATTGTTTCTTGACACCATTGTATGTCCATGGACACAAAAGTTATAAAGTGATATATACAATTACTTACCGGTAATATCAGACTTATTTTCATATACATGAAAATAGGTTCTTTAATATATAAATCCTGGTCTGCTTAACCCCTTTATGATCTACTTACAGAAGCTAAACATAATAAATATTACATGGCATGAGTCAACTCTAGTGTATGTCAGTGTTATTTATTATACAATGAAGACATATACAACAGAAAAAGCTCTGGTAGTGCAGCTGTTAATTTGTCAAATGAACCATAGTGATATGGCACCAAAAGATTAATATTTCCTGCGATTGCTCAGTGGGTAAGGCACTGGTTCGCTTACCTGGATGTCCCAGGGTTAAACCCATGAATTTGCAGGAAAAGAAAGTTCCTCAGGATTTTCCGGTGTGGTTTCCCATTGTCAGTGGTTCAGTATGGAGGGCCTGGCAAGGAACTGTGTCTAGTCATTTGAATGGGACAAAAAGAACGAGGTCCTTTATACACATATTGGTGTGCATATAAAAGAACCCTTGGTATTCAATATAAGAGTAGGCCATATAGTGTTGTTCAGGTGTCTGGGAAAACATTCCCACATAACGCACCACCTGTCATCAATAGTTTGTTTGTATGGAGCATAAAAGTAGGATGCTAAACCCCATTTCATTTTGAAACATCAACATGGTTTTCACCTGATTCTGTAATTAGATTAGTGGGTCACTGGTATACCATTTTAGATAAATCACATTGATAATGACCAAGAATTCCCAAAGTCCACCTTAAATCACAAAGGATGCAATTAATCCAGTTTATCATTAAAATGATACATTTTGGAAGAAAAGTAACCTAATAAATTTATTTTTAACACACTCTTGTTGTTCTTAATGTTTAATATCTGCTTCTAATATCCTAGCGCACGCACAATGGTCTTTCCGTGGGTGGAAACTGGAGTAAAGCCACGAGGGTGAGAAGGTGCCCCTATCTGCAAGCCACATACGCTCACATCAGGGATCGAAACCTCAACCACAAGCCAGAGATGAACGGTTAGCCAGAGCTCGTAGTGCAACACTTTAGACCACTAGGCCATCACCCCCACCTCCCTTCTTCAACGTCCAACGTCTGCCCTTATATATACACCAACTCATTGTGAAGATCTTTGAATTTATCTGCTTATTTTGTATGTTTTATGTGAAACCACTCAAATCTAAATTTAGAATCACTTTCTAGGTCTATGAAAAATACTTTGTTTTGATCAAACTCCAAGACTTTTTATGTTACTTCTGAAAATAAATGGTAAGAATGTTGATGGTAGGATACTAATAAATTGTTTCCTTCATGACCTTCTTTCAGTGATGTTTCTTACTTGGCTGTCTCAGATGATACTGCTTCTTGGCTGAATAGTTTTTAGGATTCAATGTATTTATCTCACATGTAGCTGTTGGTCCATATATTATAACACATTTTATAAGGTCAATAGACTTGATATTTATGAAAATTTGTTTGGTTATTCTGGCTAACTGTCAACACATGTATAAAACAGTGGAATTTAATTTTCTTTTTCTTTAATAGCGTAGTTCAAAAAGTAGAGAAAAAGAAATAATTTGGAAGTTAATAATGAAATTAATATATGCAAGATATTCACTACATCAAACCTTAATAAAGAGTTGACAGTTCTTGCAATAGTATAGTTAAAAAATGGAATATGCTGACAATTTCAGTCAAATTGCTGCACTCTGAACCGAGATATTATCCATTTTTATGTTTAATTATTTTTCAAAAAATGTATTCCAATGCGCTAAATATCGCAGGCTAGCGATGGCATCTAGAGTTGATTATGGGCCTAAAATGTTAAATAAACTATTAATTAGACATTTATTAACATGACAAGACCATAATAAACTCTATGCCAACAGATATCTCCAATATTAAAAATGGAGGAGCGAGACTTAGCTTCGAACAACCAGTAGCGCGGTTGAAATTAACGCACATGTTTTGTCAAACCTTCAAAGGCTATATCTTTGCATGCAATACAGTAATTTGAATGAAATTTTCAAATTATTCATTTTACATTATCTATTTTCGAACTACTATAGCAAGAATGGCTAGCTCTTTATATATATAAATCTTACATAATGTATCTTTAATGTCTAATTAAAAATTTAGATAACATTTCAGGCCTAAAGAAAGACCTGCAATAGGCAGATGTAGCTCTTGCATAATGTATGTTTAACTAAGATAATTTACCCAATATTCTTAACATTTATATTTATCCCATTAATTTTATGGTTACATAACCAGAAAATTTGCGCAAAGAGGAAGACAGGGTCAAATTGGTTGTTTTAAATACAAAGTCCAATCAGAGCGTCATATATAATTTATGTAAATGTTTTGTCGGTTACAGTTACATATCTTAGGAGCCTATGAAACAATTTAAAATATAAAAAGGTGAATCTGTTTATTTATTGTGAATATTCTTTTTTCTGATATCATTTATCAGATGTTTTAGAAATAGTAAGCATGCCAGGCCTTGGCCACATTTCATACTTATTGATGACTGAAGCATGGCTTCGCAGGTCCCCTTCCTGGAAATGACAACCAGCAGAAATTGAAAGTTTTTTTAAACTAGAAGTGTTACAAGATGTTCTAGACTAGAAGTGATACAAGATGTCCTAGGAAGTGTAAACATACCTAGCCTCATACACATGTAATTTAAAAAGAAATAAAATGGGGTTTAAAGTCCTACTGTTCTGCACCGACTAGGCTAATGAAGACAGACAAACGTGTGGGGCGTTGTATTTTGGTAATTTTGCCTCGACAGCAGTGCTACGGTATATTCTTATTTTGAATTCCAGCTGTTAAGGGTTGTTTTAGGTTTTTTGTCCCATCTAAAGAACTAGACAATGTTCCTTCCCAGACCTTCCAACCAGCACCACTGACATTTGAAAACAACACTAGGAGCAAACCCGCGACCTCCTGGTTAGTGAGACAGCGCCTACCCACTGAGCCACCGCAGCTCCATGTATACAAATGTTGTAATATTATTTGTATTTATAAATTATATCGTTTCAGTGCTACTCAACTCTCTAGTTGATGATAATACTCAAATCACTAAGCTCAACACTCAGAATCTAAATGCTTGACTATGAGACTATAGACACACTCATTCTGGACTGAATTGTAAATGCCCTGCCCTCTGTCTTATTCATATTTCTTGTAACATATAGCAGATCATGACTCATGCTGGCATTACACAATGGTTTCTCTGGGTTTAATTCCTGATTGTTTTCAAATCTGAGTGAAGTCTGTGTCACTACAGACCTGGGACTGTACAGAGCAGTGGACACTTACGGCTAGCCCCCGGATCCATTCACTTTATTTGAATTGTGCGTTTGTTTGTGATTTCTGCATAATATGTCTTGTCCGTATATTTGTTTTTGTGTAAATTATGTGTGGTGCAGTCCCCCTGCACTTACTATTACAAGAAAAACACAGGCACATTTTATAATAGATATTTCTAGTTTTATTTACAAACATTATATAATAATGACCATAAAACTATCACAATTAAAATATGATCTATATAAAACACATTTATTTTGCATTAAACTCTCAGTTAAATAAGTTGACAATCAATTATATATAGTTAACAATTAATTAAATATAGATGACAAATTGTTCATTGTGAGAATATTCACATTTACACCATCATCAGTACTATTAAAGTTCATTTTTATTTTTATTACAAAGGCACTGACACAATTTTATCTATAATAAGTGTGAATTCCATGAATACTAGCTACACTGGGTGGACCATATATCAGAAATACTATTATACTTGTTAATAAGCCAAAGTAAATAGACAATGCAGGCCAACCTCTCAACAAAACAAAGAATAACAATACTGTACATCTGAAACCATACAGACAATGAGAAATGTCAAAGTGAGTATCAACAATTTTAATAGATATTGCCACATTAGTATATACAATCAGATATTTTGATCAATTCAGTTGCGCTTAACAGCCCAATCAATGTAGTGAATCATTCTTTCTACACTGTGCCCACTCTCATCTTTTATTATAGGCAATAAAACATACAGCACAGCAGGTAAATCTAATGGTTGAGTGACAGTGATTGAGAACAATAAAACACAACAACCATTTATATGAAATACAATCAGTTAAATTTAATAGGATTCTTTGTTTCACTAACTTGAACAATGAATAATATACATTTCAGTCTGATCGGATTGTAACTTTTGTTGCTAGAGCAGTCACAAATTCTACAATGTGTTTAAGGGCAACATCTCAGGAATTCAATGTGGCAGATTTACTCTTTTGTATGTAATGTGAATGCGAGAGAGAGAGAAATGGGGTTTAACGTCCACTCGACACAAACTAGGTCATTTAGGGACTAACACATGGTTTAATTTTATTTCAATAATTCGAATGCGCGTAGGGGTCTTTAGCAGTGGGAGGAAACCAGAGGACCCGGAGAAAACCCACGAGGTTGGACAGGCGACCCTACTCCTTGTCACGTACAACCGGGGATTCGAAACCACGCCAGTCGACTCAATGACAGACTTTATGATACAGCGCGCGCACGCTAACCATTCAGCCATCCAACCCCTCGTAATGTGAATGCATAAACCACAGTAAAAACTGATCAAGAGTAACAACCCACAAGTCTAGTTCTTCCTAGTGTTTACATTTATATTATACAAAAGTATCAGTAATTAGATGCTAACATTAGCTATTTGAGATACAGTAAAATGTCGAAAATCAACAGTCTTCTTCATCTCATGAATATAACAACTGTGTACACATTTGATATCAATTGGATAATAACTTGAGCCACTAGAGTATCCACAAGATTTTAAATATAGGTTGCCAGGCAACGAAACATACGCCCACAGCAGCTAAATCATCCGAGCAGTAAACAAGTGTTGTCAGTAATGAAACATTTAATAGACTAAAATCATTAGAATTTGTTTGGCCCATGCTAACGTTTAGTATACAAAACATCTACATGTAATATCATGGGTTTAGCTGTTCAAGTTATCAAAAATCATTAAAAATCAATAAGGTCTCAAAACCTTAAATTCTGTGTATCAATCTAAAGTCAATCGATATGATTATATATAGGGTAAACTCAATGTATAAATATAAAATCAATCAGATGATAACTATGGTCTCTAAAGCTTTTTCAAAGTGATCAAGGGCCATAACTCTGGAAGTCATTATCATAAATCGTTGAAAATCATTAGGCTTCTTCGTCTGATGACCTTAAACACTGTGTATAAATTTAAAGTCAATCGGATATTAACTTTAGTCTCTAGAGCGTCCACAAAATTTTTCAAAGTGATCAAAGGTCATAACTCTGGCAGTAATTATCGGAAATCGGTTAAAATCACTAGGCTTCTTCATCTCATGACCTTAAACACTGTGTATAAATTTAAAGTCAATCGGATATTAACTTTAGCCTCAAGAGCGTCCACAAGATATTTCAAAGTGATCAAGGGCCATAACTCTGGCAGTAATTATCAGAAATCCGTGCAAATCAATAGCATTCTTCGTCTCATGACCTTAAACACTGTGTATAAATTTCAAGGCAATCGAGTATTAAATGTAGCTTCTAGAGCGCCCACAAGCAATTGTGGACGCCGGAGGAATGACGGATGGGGGTGACAACAATATACGACCACATTTCAATGTGGGTGTATAAAAATTGATCAAGGGTGATAACTCTTGAGAATAATTATCAGCTTCATCTTATGAACATAAATTTAAAGCCTATCAAAAGATTACTTTAGCATCTTGAATATCCACAAGTTTTTTCAAAGTGGTCAACAGCAATAACTCTAGAAGTGATTATTGCAAATTATTGAAAATGAATAGTTTCCTCCTTTGATGAAAATAAAAAATGTTTATAAATAATAAGCTTATTAGATGATAATTTTAGACTCTAGAGCATTGAACTTTAGAAGACTGACAATATACGATCACATCCACTGTGGGCATCTAAAAAATAATTTCCGATTTAATGTCATTTGACTACATGGTTACATGGGGCATGTTCAAATTTGACAATGGAACATTTCAGACAAATCTGCAAAGCCACTGCTGAGATCTAGACGTTTTAAGTTTGAATCTACAAGTCATACAGATCTTTTGATGGAGTTAAATGTCTGTCTAAGAAAAATACCTTACTCTAAAGAGTTTATTCAATAATAATGGGAGAATTAGTAAAACCATGGACCTAATAATACACCTTTGAAATTCAAAGTTCTGGTATTATAAGGTCCATGGTAAAACTGATACAATAGACAACTAAACAAATACATACAAAAAATCTTAGCTACATGTACTCAATACATCATTTTCCTACAGACAAATCTAATGGCAGGCATTAAGTAGGAAAGACAGATGGATAGGATATATATATTTACATTGCCAATATTTGTATAAGTATATTATTCAGTAATCACTTCAAATAGAAATATTAATTATCAGATAATGGTGTTAATCTTCTATGTAGGTATTTTAATCTATGCTTATCAATAACCTCCACAATATAAGCTGTCTGTTTCAATCAATCATTGTGTCAATGTTATCTTATCGGTCATCAATATCTGACAACAATTAGTCCACTATAGGCAACCTGATTCAACAGTTTAAACAGTGTCTCTTGTCATACATTATTTCATGTGACTGGCCAATCAAGCATAATGTTGATATTACAGACTGTAAAATAACTCGTCTGAATACTAAATATAGTAAACAATGAACTACATAGTAAAATGAATGCACACCAAGGTCCATCTTGGTACATTTTAAAATTCATACATTACAGATTTTGAGGTGTAACATATTCAAATTCGAGCTCAGGTTCCTTTATTTTTAATATATAATAAGTTGCTAACCTATTAATGAGTTATTTTTTTTTAAATTCCTTTTTTTTTTTATAAAACATAATTATTTCTAGACACAATATTTTAATAACCAGTTGAATTAATTTATTTTGAAATCTCTCTATATATTCAATACATTAGTTACAAAAAATGTAGTCATTTCAAGTTCCAGCCACCTCAGGTAGATAAATGCCAAATGTTCCGTATACTTACCTGCCTCTTGATTGTTTCTGTGTACCAAATGACATCATCTGTATTATTGTAAGCTTGATTTCAACTATTAGCAATCTAATCAAATATCAGTAGACAGAATGAAAGTACTAAGTCGAACAATATTTCGTTACATCAAAAATTTAATTAACCCTTAGACAAACGCATCTTAAAAATGTTCTTTTAGGGATTCCAAATCAATAAGCAGGATGAGAAAATTTGTGAAAAGAGTAGGAACACTAGCTATGGTGACTGGAACTTGAAATAAAAGATGTATAAAAACTACACAGGAATTACAGTAGGTTTGGTTGGTTACAACTATATACAAAAACTTCATAAAAACATTAACTTATATTTCAATTTATCACAACATCAATCGGATATAAAACCCTATAACAGTATATCTTTCCCAAAATATTATATACTCCATGCATAATTATTTTAGGGGAACAGGCAGTTTTCTATTAAAATACCGGATATAAATTAATTTTTTTTGTAAAATGATCTGCAATAATTGATTGTACGACTAATATATATGGAAAGGGTTTAAAAAGGGAAAGTGTTAATGGCATAGATCCATTTTTGGTAGAAGATTTTCTATATTTACGAGTAGATCAACATGTATTGAAAAATGTTTAATTATTTGACATTATATTAAAATCCTATAAAGACCCATGAAAGAGTTTAGAAAAAACATGTACAGTAACCCTCATTCTTCCTGCCCCCGCTTTCTAATTCATACTTTAATTATACATGTACTAATCTTGTTCATTTATTCCATAAAAAAAAAAAAAAATTTGAGATAAAATTAACAAATACATAAAATTAAAAATACATTTTCAGAAATGATTTTACACCCTGGTTTGACTGTTATTTTATATCAATAAATGAAACAAACACCATATTAGGCGAATTGTTTCTCAATGCACAGATTTTATGAATCAATGTTTAAAAATTCCAAGCTCTGTGTGAGTTACAGCTTGAAATCTTCAGTATCTCATATTTCATGTAGAAATAAAATAATTCCAACTTTCTTTTATTCTCTGATTGTGTCATGCCGGTCAGTGATCCAAAAAATCGCACTGATGTTTTATAGCTTAAATTAATATTATTGAATTGTTAAATTCATTTTCAAGAATACATATACGCTTGAATGAGAAAAACGGGTTTGCAAGGGTAAATGAATAACCTATCAGACCCGTAGCTATAAAAACACACACATGGCCGATAGATTAACACAAACTTTTCCTTTTTTATGCCTCTGTCATATGTAAATAATCTTAATTAAATCGAATATCATAATTAATGTACTGGAAGTTCAAATTGTAATAAACAACATAGTCTTCGTGGCCAAATAAATCTAAACCTTTTAGTAAATAAAATACGGTATTGTATATTTAATACAGGAGGGTTACCTAATTTTTTAATAATATTGACGACAGATGGTCAAGTGAATACTCAGGGCGTACATCCAACTTTTTATGCTTGTTAATTTGCAGTTAAAAGGTGATAAACCGAAATTACTTACATAATATGTTTTTACATTGCATTATTATTATCTCGTCTTAGACCTACATATGTTTTTACATTGCATTATTATTATCTCATATTACAGTAATAAAGTAGATCCACATGTCTATATAATTTACATGCTCACTCAGTATTGAGACCACCCCATTATTAAGACCCCACTATTAACAGGGATTTCACTGTATTAAATCAAAATTAATGGTTTGAGAAAAAGATGAACAGCTGATTATGTGTTCAATGTGAGGCATAGTACAAAATTGTTTCTTCTGTGATACGATAATGAGAAATTCAATTATTCTTCAACTCCAATACAAAAACAAACAATATTTCCTAAATTGCTTGTTTTTCTCAGTTATTTTTACAATTTTTAGGAAATTATTCTATAAGTGAAATTGATGCACACAATTTGACCATCTAGTTAAGCTAAACAAGAACTATGAAAGAGAAAAGTGTCCACAGTCAAGAATAAAAAGAAGCTGATGTCAATATAATGAGCATGTAATGGAATCATTACCAATGTACTCGAAATATCAAATGCATTGTCACAATTTTCTTACAGCAAAATCAGTTTTGAAAATGACAGGATAATCTGAATAATGGACATTTTAAAATCAAGATATTAAAACAATATCTTAAATAATTTTTGATTCTTTTAAGCGGGGCTTATGTCGACTTTGCAACCCAAAGCAACTAGTTGCAGTCAGTTGCAAGAGTGCTTATGTCGATCATATCAGCAACTGAGAGCAACTGAATTCGGAGCGCTTATGTCGACTCGGAACTAATAGCGATCACACTGAACACGTGACTGTTATTTTATTTATCACGTGATCAACAAAATAGCAAATTACTTAGAAGAAGCAACCCAAAGGCATGGTCAGTCTTGCTACAATTCTATTAGTATATTATTGTCAACATCATCAAAACTTGAAAAGTGGGTGTCTTCGTTCGATCCATTTGCTTATTTATAAAGTCACATGACACATGTCTCTTATTATGTGATGTTATTTCCATGGAAACGAGTTGACTCCAGTTGCAGAAAGTTGAACATGTGCAACTGACTGCAACTAGTTGCTTTGAGTTGTAAGAGGCGCTCAGGTTGACTTTTTTCAGTTGCTTTCAGTTCCTCCCAGTTGCTGAAATGCCAGTTGCTTTCAGTTGCAAGGTCGACACAAGCCCCCCCTTAATAGCATTTTACCATAATTTATTGAATTAATTAAAGATATGTTTCTTCCAGGACAACAAGACCATCCCCAAAACCTAATGCATCTATAATAAAATATGATTTAATTAATAAACCCAAAAATTAAAATAATGCCCCAGGGGAGTTTATTTGTAGCAACAAGTGATGAATATTGCAATGTTGATATTTTACTTGAATATAATTATCAATCTATCAATTAAAGGAATATATCTTTATAAAGGTCACAAAAAAGAGGTTGAAAAGTAAATCATAAATATAGAAACACAGTATATTACATCTTAACTTAAAAATATTCAAGAAATAGTGCATTCTATTTATCCATAGAACCGGTTTAAATCTATACAAGGTTGTATTTATATCCTGTTACTATACTAGTTCACTGTAATAACTATAAATTATACAGGAATTATATAAACATTAATTATATTACTGGACAAAATAAGAATATCTATAGTAAATATTTTAAAATCTGCCACACTATAAAAATAGAATTGCTTAATTTATTTCAAATATTAACAAACTTATCATGAACCAAATTCTGTGGTATCATCTGTGATAGCTTTATATTCATACGCTCCTCTACCATCCATCTTTAAATAATACTGAAATAAATATTTACAACAAAATTAACATAAATTATATGAGGAGGACTACACAACACAAACGTAACCAATTTCGATAACTATGTCTACAAGAAGACTCTGTCATCAATATCCTGCACCCTTAGACATTTTTTGGAAGGCAAAAGGATAATCTCTGAGTTATTAGTAATCAACAACAAGATACTAGTAGTGTACATGTTATAAAATGTACAGAAAATAGTATCAACCTGGTTAAAGTGGACATAAACTACAAACTGTTACCACTCAGATATACTCTAGAATAAAAATTGAATACTAAAAACTAAGTTATTTATGTATCAGCAGAAACATAATCTTTTTTTAAATTAGAAACATTTCTATCTAGCAAAAGGCACAACTACTATAATAGGTTGATGTGTGTACCACCCTAACTTCATTCAGCACGGGATAATAAAGAAACAGCACATTTTTGGGAAAAATATGTGTAAAAATTAGAGACCTAGGGCGGAGCAATTGCTTTCAATTAGTTGCAAGTGTGCACATGTCCATCAAATCAGTAACTGAGGGCAACTGAAAGCAACTGAATTCAGAGCACTAATGTCGACTTTGAACTGATAGCGATTACACTTAACACGTGACTGTTAATTTATTCATCACATGATCAATAAAATGCCCAATGCATTAGCAGATGCATCCCAAAGGCGTGGTCTGTCTTGCCACATGGTTTAATTTTATTTCAGTAATTTGCTTGCACGTAGGGGTCTTTAACAGTGGGAGAAAACCAGACGACCCTACTACTTGTCCCGTACAACTGACTCAATGACAGACCTCATGAAACAGCGCGCACGTGCTAACCATTTGGCCTTCCACCAACTCCCTCCTCATAAGGTCAACCTAAGCCCTGCTTTAGGCTACAAAAACTGAGTCAACATAATTTAAGATTAGTATAAAAATTTGTAGATCTTATTTGTACTTACATCGTGATGTTTCCATAATGATTTACGATGTGATACTGTGAATAACGTAATGCCAACCTATAAAAGAATAAAAAATATTTACTCTACAACTCATGTATATGAATAATCTAGGGTCAGTCCAAGGAACCCTATGAATATTTTAGAACAAACTAAATAGAGAGATTTTAGTAACTAGAATTATATAACATCTGCATTCTGTTTAAATTCAAATGATATTACCTCTCGGGAATGTTGGTACATATAACCTTCTACATCAACACTAACAGCACTTGTACACTCATCTAATATAGCAAACTGAGGTTTATGGTAAAATAATCGTGCCATCTGAAAGTTAAGAAAATACAATATATACTGTTCACATAATGAACACAATAGATAAATTAAAATTATCATACTTATTTCAGTAAATTACCTGATATTACTAGTATAATACTACTAATTTTATCTGAAACAGACAGAGGCTATGCATTCAAAATTAATGATCCTAAAATTTTGAAATTTCAATATGACTCAATAAACAATCTCACCAAGTTTGAAAATATCCCACTGAGAACTTTGCCCTATATAAGAGACAAAAAATGCACAGTGAGACGTCTAGAATACAACTAAGCATAAGTTCATGTTTCTACCCCAATCCCCTTTAACTATATACTGAAAACTACTTACAGCTATTCTCTGTTTTTCACCACCACTTAATACATCCATCCAATCCTACAACAACATATACATCTTTAATCTTTCAAAAATATTATTTTAATCAGTAATGATCAAGGGAAAATACAGGACCAATTTTTTCTTTTGCCCGATTACTAAACACCAAAACTCAACTACGATGTGTTTTTCCATTTTTCATATTATGTTAATATTTCTATTTACATAGACTCAATATTAACAGAAGAGGGGATGATCGTCTAAAGAGTTTTGCAGAAACCTAGTAACTTTAAGAGTCAGAACCTGATTTTAGCATAATAAAACAAAAATGATGGTGTTGAACAGGTGGGCAAGTGTTTGAAATTCAACTAAGGATTTGAATAAAAATAATGAGTTTTCTTGAAGCTAATGGGCCAATCTAGAAAAGTATGTTAAATTCTAGAATATTTCTATCATGTTATTTGTCAAATTCATCATTAAATACTGCATCACATACAAAACAAAGAGCACAAATAAATTGCTTGAACAAAACTATTTATTATAAAGTTATTTTAAAATGAATAAGTAACTGGCTAAAAACTATAAATCTTTCTCTTTCATATATATAGATTACACAAGAGATTGAGAAGTCATGAAAGTGACCTGAAGGTTAACATAATGGCATACTAAAATTACTTTCTTGCTTGCATTAATTTCTTTACTTAGAGTATTAATCACTTGAAAACTCACCTGAACGGAATCCCAGCCACCTTCTCTATCTAATATATAACCTAACTGTACCTATAAAAATAGAACATTATAAAACTTTAATCATAATATATCGAACAGTGAGGCTGATGTCCCCTACATCAATACAAAAAAAGATAGGTTGCCAGGCAACGAAACATACGCCCACAGCAGTTGAATCGTCCGAGGGGTCGACAAGGGTAGTTGCATATTTATTCCTTTGTAGGTAATTGGGGGCCTTTACAAGACAGTTCCATACAGATCAGATTATAAATTTTGTCGTTTGAGGGTTTACAAGGTTCTACAAACTGAAACAAGGGTCTCAACTCTGGAAGTAATCTACAGAAATTGGTGAAATTTGACAGGCTTTTTCAATTTACTAATTTAAATAATGCATATCAATTTCATACAGATCACATGATCACTTTTGTCATTCAAACATTCACACGGACCATAACTCCAGAAGAAAATAACGTAAATTATTGAAAATAAAAATATGCTTCTTCATTTCACTAATGCCAACAACATAATAATATATCAATTTCAAACCAATCAGATGATAAATGTTGTCTGTAGATGACAGACAGATGGACCGACTGACGGATGAGCGGACGCGGGCGACGGCAATATATGACCACATTTCCATGTGGGCGTATAATAAAATAAGTAGTGATATGTGTTAATTAATTAGTTAATGAATAATATGCAATTTTTCATTAGTGGTTAATATTCAAATCCTAGATAAACAAAATAAAGGAGTTCTATCTGTAATCACACTTTAAAGTCCATAAAGCGCTAAAAAACTTCCTTGAAACCAAAATTACTTTTACAAATCTACACTAACCTTTTCAAGAATTTCAGCTAAATCTTCATCGCGAATACGTTTTTTTTGTTGTTGTTCTCTGTTATCAGGGTATATAACCTGGTCTCTTAATGTTCCAACAGCCATATAAGGTCTCTGTGGTACATAGAACAGCTTTCCCTTTTCTGGCTTGGTCATAACTCCACCAAATAATGGCCAAAGCTTTGCAAGAAAAACAAGAAATGGAAAACAATTGTTTTTAGACTCCAAAAATTGGCTATGACGAATATACAATCATATTCCAAACTCTTAAAATCAGTTATGTCATGTGTGGTCTAAGGGGAGATAATATTCCAGTACGGTCAAATGATAGAGTCACTTCCCCTTAGTAATTCATTTTTCATATTTTTCCCCATCATTTTCATGTAATATTTTGTTTTGTTACCTCTCCTAATGTTCTGAACAATGAACTTTTGCCACAACCATTTGGTCCACAGATTAAAACATTCGTACCAGACTTAACCTATAATATATAATTAGTTCAGTAAACATACATTATGCAGGAGCTAAATTTGCCTATTGCAGGACGTTCTTTAGGCCTGAAATGTTATCAAAATTATTAATTAGACATTAATTAACTTATAACTTATCCAGACCATAATCAACTCTCGATGTCATCAGTGATATTTTTTGGATTAGGATCTATTTTGCTGCTGAACTTTCATTCATGATTAAATCATGAAATGGATAATCAAGACTATGTTTTTTTATCGTGCCGAAAATTCAATCACTAAATTCTTGGTTCATAGTGGATCAATTTGACTGAAATTTTCAGCAAACCACCTTTACATTATATCTAGTTTTTAACTATTATAGTGACAACTGCCAGCTGTTTATCTAATCTCCCATAATGTATCTTTAATAATCATTTCCTTTTATTGATGCAAGAACCTTTTATGGTGGGGAGTATATGTCAACAGCTTTATTATCTAAAAACCACCTTTCTCAACTCCATGAAGAATGAGCAGGTTTGCACACAAAAAAAGATCAGATTTTTTTATTACTTTTTTTGTTTAAGGCACAAGATAGCTGACATTGTAAATTCAGTACCAGGCAGGATACGCCCACATTTTGCAACAGATGGGTAGAGAAGAGGCTAAAAACAAACGCGATTTTTTGTACAATTAGGGGCAAAAATCCAGAAAGTTATGGCCTGAAATGTGCAAATATCAAAAGGGAAGTTAATTTCGGCTATCCGCGTTAATCAAAAGGAACCAAGATCTTAGTGTGTAATGGTGATATATTCACACATTTTTTTAAATCGGATAAAAATTGTGACCTCTACAGGGACCACAAGCTAAAAATGTGATTTTTTGTTCAATCAGGGCCATAATTCAGCAAGTTACGATCCGATATGCGCAATTATCGACAGGAACCAATATCTTTGGGTTATAAACATATATTTCAAGTTTCATCGAAATCGGATCAAAATTGTGACCTCTAGAGGGTCCACAACCTTGATTTACTAGATGTTTACACTATTTGCGTATGAGGGACGGCCATTTCGTCCAGCAGTTTTGGCCCGATTTTCATGAAATTCGAAGTCAACAAACATTACGGTGTAACGGTGATATATTCGAACATTTTTTTAAATCGAATAATAATTGTGACCTCTAGAAGGACCACAAGCTAAAAACGCGATTTTTCGTACAACCAGAGGCCATAATTCAGAAAGTTACGATCTATGGGTTATAAACTTGCATTTCAAGTTTCATCAAAATCAAATCAAAATTGTGGCCTCTAGAGGGTCCACAACTTTGATATACCAGATGTTTACACTATTTACGTACGCAGGGCGGCCATTTTGTCTGGCAATTTTAGTCCGATTTTCATGAAACTCAATTATAACAGTCATTTTGTAAAATATTTTACCTCCATTGACAATTCTCTGATTAACACATCACCATTTGGTGTCACTAGTGGGACTTTATCAAATCTGAAAATATATAGAATGCAATCTTGTAACGAATAGCATCATTTATAAAAATATAATTCATACATCATTTAACATTCCATTGAAGAAAAACAACCGACTGATACAATATTAACTTACTTAATTAGATGGTCCTGTACAACAATTTTACCACTACCTGGTTTTAATGCTACATGGTTACCGGTACTTGTATTACCATTTCCTGTAGTAGACATAAATTGGTACATAGAATAATTATACAAAGTCAATGTTACTGCTTATATAATACACAAAGAGACAAATATTTGTCTGACATAATGACAGGTCGTAGAATTATTGCACTTGACAAAGTGTGAATTTACGCCTGACAGGGCAATCACAGTTTCTTTTAAAGATAAATTCTAATAATTATTATTAGAAAAAAAATAGTAATGTGTGTGTGCGCAGGTGGGGGAGTAGGAGGAAGGGTGTGTAAGAAAGACTGGGAGCACCAAAATTGCATATATTTGGCTGTTTTACCATTTATGCACATCCAGGTATCTATAGCAGTTTATCATTTTGGTTCACTTCCGAATTTGAAGTGAGCTAGGGCCCTCCATGGTCTAAATCCAATCCTGTGCACTAGTACTTATCAAGAATGATGGTGGTGACCTCAAATAGATATTATCAAAAATTTGTGGCAAAATACTGTATCTGGAGTATGTTGTTATTGATGAGGAACACAATCAATAGAAACAATTGCTTCTTGGCAACAATCAGGAAGGGTGGGGGGGGAATCAGCTCATGGAGTGTCGATAATACATACATACATTTTTTTAACTGTGTAAGTCGATCAGAGAGGGGATCCCCCCCACCCTTCCATGCCCCAAACACAAACCCTGGTTCCCAAAGTTTTATGAACTACCATTAATGGAATATTTATTGAAATAAAACAATATGATATACCTTTTGATTCTGTCACCATTGTTCTTTCATAATGACCTTTATTAAGATCACCTAAAACTTGTAGCAATTCTGTTACTCTGGCTGTAAAACTAGATACACAAGAATCAGTAAAGATTGGTTGCAAGTCAAAGGAACATATGCCCACATCAGCTAAATCGTCAGGAAAGTTGTTACATACTTATTCTTTTGCAGCTAATGGGAGAATTTACATGACACTAAACTGATGAAGAGTAACAATGTGTTTCACTTACCCTGCTAATCTTGTCATTTCCCTTCCTGCCAAAACAATTCTACCAATAGCTTCTGCCATTTTTACCAACATTCTTCCACTTTTATAATAATCCTAAAATCAAATTTATGTTAAAATAATATTTCTTTGCTTGTTCGAGTATGGGAAATACATATTTTTATAAAATTTGTTAACAAGAGCGTTAAATGTGTAGTTTCATCTATTTTATTATATTTTTGTTCAGTTTGTTTGAATTGTGTTATGTTGTTATTTGTCCTATTATTCCATTAATCATAACCAGTTCTATTGTATAAGATAAGTTGTCAGGCAATGAAATATACGCCCACAGCATCTAAGTTGTCCGAGCAGTCAACAAGGGTTGTTACATATTATTGTAACCACAAGATATTTCAAAGTAATCAAGGTCCATAACTCTGGCAGTAATTGTCTGAAATCGTGGAAAATCGATAGGCTTCTTTGTCTCATGACTATGAACACTGTATAAAGTGAATCAGATTTTAACTTTAGTCTCTAGAGCGTTCATAAGCCACGGTGGACGACTGACGGACAACAGTATATGCCCAAATTGAAATGTGGGCGTATAAAAAGTAGAATGCTGGAATAGATGAGTTAAGGTGTGTGTATTGTTCTCAATAACATAAATCACACCATGCTTCCTAGCTATGGTGATATTTCATCAGAAATTCAAAGAATGAATTAGAAATAAGTTCAATATTTCAAACTTTCTCAAACAACAACAATCACTATCCCATACAATGTTAATGTTATTCTCCAATGTTTTATCTTTATTTTTGTTTGTGGCTTAGTCTTAACTGAATGAATATACTATGAAATGTACCTACCTCTAATATTTCTGCATGTGTACTATTTTTATGTCTAGGGTGAGATAAGTTTAAAAAGGGACGGCTTACAACTAAATAACCAACAACAGTAGCCAGATCTGTTCAAATATATATTATTATTATCATTATCAAATTTACACGAATAACTGTGCTCATTTACGCTTTTACAAAGACATATCATAGAGCAAGACAAATTACATTTACATAATAAAATCAGATAACAAGGAGCACACATGTACTTGATAATATATACTATTCAAAAAAAGTAGGGGATATTTGATTTTGGGGGCATAATACTAAAATATGCAAATGACTACGAAAAAAGTCACTATAGAACCTAACAGAAGAAACATTTCCAGTTACATGTGACGCCCAAACGCACCAATAGCTACCGCATGGAATGCAGGTGATGCTTGGGATCATCATGGGGGTCCAACCCAAGATTTGCACGACTCTGACTTTGAATGTTACAGTCATTGTGGCATTGAATTCCAGGGTGGAAACATCAGTTTAATTGTTTTAGTGACCAGAAAACAAATTTTGATATGCGTCGGCTTACCCAAAGTGAAAGGTTACGTGCCCTTGGCATGCTACAGATCGGCACAACACAGGCGGTTGTGGCGCGGACGATGAATGTTTCTCAGTCTGTCATAAGCAGGCTATGGTCCAGATACCGTGATACACAATCTGTACAGGACACACCACGCTCAGGTCGACCAAGGGCGACAACTCAAGCCCAGGATCGATTTATCCGTACCTTGGCCTTGAGAAATCGTGTCATCACAGCAAATCAGATCAGCGCTCGTCTTCAAACAGACACTGGTGTGAGAGTGAGTGGCCAGACGATTCGGAATCGACTGCATAGGGGTCACCTTCGCGCCCGACGTCCTCGCGTGATCCCTTGTTTGAGAGAGCATCACATTCAGGCAAGACGTCGTTGGTGTAGGGATCGTCAACACTGGGATAATCGACGCTGGAGCAATGTGATGTTTTCAGATGAGTCAAGGTTCACTGTTGATTTTTTGGACAGACGTAGGAGGGTGTGGCGTCGTCGAAACGAGAGCTTCCAAGACGTTAACGTCATCAGACATGATCGATTTGGGGGTGGTTCTGTTATGGTGTGGGGAGGCATCACTGTTGCTGGAAGAACGGCTTTACATGTTGTTGCAGGGCGTGTTACAGGCCAGTACTACCGGGACAACATCTTGGCAGTCCATGTTGTGCCGTTCGCACGACGTCATGGCCGCCGTTTCATCTTCCAGGATGACAACGCAAGATGTCACAGGGCCAGGATCGTTACAGGTTACCTCCAACAACAGAACATCACCACATTACCTTGGCCAGCACTGAGTCCCGACCTCTCCCCCATCGAGCATGTCTGGGACATGCTTGGACAGAGGTTACGTCAACGTCAACAACGTCCTGCCAATGTCCAAGAACTTGCTGCTGTGTTGCAACAGAAATGGGACAATCTGGACCAAAATGACCTTAGACGTCTCATTAGGAGTATGCCACGTCGGATCAATGCTTGTTTGGCAAACAGAGGAGGATTTACCCGTTACTGACTTGGTTGTGATGCTGTGGTAACTTTGCTGTTTGACCCCGGGTATCATTTTACCCTTATAATGGTCAGTCTGTGCCTTACTTAGTCTAACGATCATTTGGAATAAATCGATGAATGTGAACTTCATTTCATTTTGTCATTTGTTTCTTCGTCAGTTTCATTAGGTGACTTTAATAACACTTAAAAATCAAATATCCCCTACTTTTTTTGAATAGTATATATCAATAACAAGCGGTTGCCATGCAAGATATGCCCACATTTTGCAAGAGATGGACAGAAAACAAGCTAAAAAAACAAGCGAAAATCCCAAAATAAATAGATGACACATATTAATTAATTGTGCATTTATCTTTTAGAAAAGCATCGAGCAATCATAAACTGATTATCAACTACACTAAGTTTCATCACTCAACGTCAATTAGAAAATAGAATCAAAGTCATTTTGTCCCAAAGCATCAACCAATGAAATTGCTTAGCGGGAAATGTCAATCATTGAACTCAGTCAAGACAATAAACATCTAATGAACATCTTCATCAAGTTTAAACATTCTATATCAATTAAAAGCAGAGTTGTTATGTTCCAGAGTCTTGACCAATTAAATTTCTTATCGCTGCTTAGCCTAAGCAAAAAATTCTCATCATCGAACTTAGTCAAGGTATTGATATATTGAATCTATACTTATGACTACAAGAGTTTCATTGATCTCACCCAATTAGAGCCAAAGTTATCATGTTTTCAAGTCTCAACCACAAATATTGCAGATCTCTGCTTAACCTTAGTTGAAAATGCCAATGATCGAACTCAAGGCATTCACCTAATAGACACCTACACCAAGTTTGAACATTCTACCTCAATTAGAAGGAGAGTTATTGTGTTCCAAATTTTCGACCAATCAGATCGAACTCTCTACTTTGCCTAAGCAGAAAATGCTCACTATCACTCAATTAGAATCAAAGTTGTCAAGCTCCAAAGACTCGACCAATCAGAGCCGAATTTGCTCATCATCGAACTTAGTCAAGGTACTGATGTGATGAAACTATACACCAAGTTTCATCACTCTCACTTAATTAAAACCAAAGTTACTGTGTCCCAAAGCATAAACCAATCAAATTGCTTATCTCTGCATACCATAAGCAGACACTGCCCATCTTCCAATTCAATCAAGGCATCCACCTAATGAATGCCTACACTAAGTAGAGTTTTTTGTTTTCCAAAGTCTCAATCAATCAAATAGCGTTATTGTGTCACAAAATGTGTGAGGGACAGATAGACAGACAGACGGACAGACCCATTTTAATAGTCCCTGCTTTCTTCGAAAGACGGGGGACAAAAAAGGGATTTTTTGTATAATCAGGGTCCATAATCCAGTAAGTTATGGTCCAATATGCGTGAATATTAAAAGGAATCAAAATCTCTGGGATATCTATATATATATTTGTGACTGTCATTTGTCTGTCTGTCTGTTCGGGGTTGGTGGCTACACTAGGTCTGCCCCGAGTCTGAAATTTGGGGTATAGGGGTAGCTCGGACCGGGGAGTAACATAGGCCAGGTGGCGTTAGTCTACCACTTCCGGTTTCGGAGTTATGACCCCCGAGCGACACCGGGTGTCTGTCTGTCTGTTCGGGGTTGGCGGGTACACTAGCTCTGCCCCGAGTCTGAAATTTGGGGTATAGGGGTACCTCGGACCGGGGAGTAACATAGGCTAGGTGGCGTTAGTCTACCACTTTCGGTTTCGGAGTTATGACCCCCGAGCGAAGCCGGTCTGTTCGGGGTTGGCGGCTACACTAGGTCTGCCCCAAGTCTGAAATTTGGGGAATAGGGGTAGCTCGGACCGGGGTGTAACATAGGCCAGGTGGCGTTTAGTCTACCACTTCCGGTTTCTTAGTTATCACCCCCAAGCGAAGCCGGGTATCCTGCTAGTAAACATATATTTTGAGTTACATCAAAATCAGATAAAAATTCTGACCTATAGGGCACACAACCTTGGTAATATATACTTTTACACTATTTGTGTACAAGGAGTGACCATTTTAACGTTCAGTTTCGGTTTGATTTTCATGCAATTCAAACTCAACTGTCATTAGCTAGTAACACTGATATATTTAAATAATTTTTTAAAATCGGATAATAATTGTGACCTCTAGAGAGACCCCAAGCTAAAAACTAGATTTTCTGTAAAATCAGGGGCCATAATCCAGGACATTATGATCTGATATGCGTGAATAACTAAAGGAACCAAGATCTTTGGGATATAAACATGTATTTTAAGTTTCATCAAAAGTATTACATACTTTAACACTATTTGTGTTCAAGGAGCGACCATTAATTTGTTGGGCAGTTTCAGTCTGGTTTTACGAAATTCCAACTCAATCATTATCAGGGTGTCACGGTGATATATTTAAACGATTTTTTAAATCAGATAAAAATTGTGACCTCTAGGGAGACCACATGTAAAATCGCGATTTTTCGTACAATCAGGGGCCATAATCCAGGAAGTTGCGGTCCAATGTGCACGAATATTGAAAGGAACCAAGATCATTGGGTGATAAACATACGTTTCAAGTTTCATCTAAATCGGATAACAATTGTGACCTCTAAAAACATGATTTTTCATACAATCAGGGATCATAATCCATGAAGCTTCGATCCGATACATGCCTATATCGAAAGGAACCAAGATCTCTTTGAGATAAAAATATATTTCAAGTTTCGTCATAATCAGATAACAGTTATCACCTGTAGAGTGCCTACAAACAAATCATGGACAGACTGATGTCCAGACAGGGCTAGAAATTCGTCAATTTTTGCGAGAATCTAAGAGGATTCTCATATATGCAATCTGCGTGAATCCTCTGAATCTTAATTAATAATACTGTCTAAAAACCAAAATTGTGTTTATTGTGTTAATCTAAAACATCAAAATACAACAATGTCAACGTCCAAAAAATTCAATTGATAACTGTACAAAGTATTATAATAAGTGAAAAAAAACAAGTGGCCGACCTTGACAGTGACAGAATAGAATTGGAATGACCGAATTTAACTCCATTATATTGACCCATTATATTTTTCGGTAAAAATGTCAGACAAGAAAAATTTTGAAATCCCATCACTGGTGTGACACCGCCCCAGGAGGTCGGGGCATGCACCCCAAATAAACAGTTGCTGTTTTTAGGGTATAAGGAATAAATATGTCAAGTTCCAAGATGATCCATTCAGAATTGCTGCCTATAGACGATATACACAAAAATTTGGCGTGGCTCTGCCCCTGTGGGTTGGAGATGGAACAATATAAATAGGTACAACCCTGTTATTGAAATGCTGAATTTGAACAAAATCTGTTCATAATTACAACCTGTAGATTATTTACAGACAAAAAACAAAAAAGTGGGTGTGACACAACCCCTGGGGGTCGGGACATGCACCAAAATCAATAGTTGCCGTCCTTAGGCTATAAGAAATATATATGCCAAGTTCCAAGATGATGCATTAAGAATAATGTGTGACCTATAGACAAAATACAGACACATCAAGAAAAAATGGGTGTGGCTCAGCCCCTAGGGATCAGGCATTCACCAAAAACAATAGGGATCATCCTTAGGTTATAAGGAATATGTATGCAAAGTTTCAAGACGATCAGTTACGAAATTTGGCCTGTAGGCGACACACACACACACACATACAGACGGGTGACCGCAATATACGTCCACATCATGAATGTGGAGTATAATAACTGATATATTATCACATAATGATTAAGAGAAATTGCTATAAAGAAAGAATTTAACGTTGGCTATTGTAACCTATTAAAATACACATTTTCTCTTAGTTATTTCAATTTGCTCAAATGGAAAAAAACAGTCTAAATGAGCTTACATAAGCTTACATTTTACTTCAATAGCAAAACAATCCAAATGACTAATTACATTTAAAACATATACTTACATTTTGCTATAATATTATCAACAAAACCCATTTGTAGACGGAAGAATATAAAATATCTTAAATGGTTTATCTAAATAAAAAAAATAAAAAAATCATTCATATCAAATACATATATAGTGTATATTTCAAAACTCTTGATAAAGGTATGTAACTATTAAATTGTATGACAGCTAACCATAACGACTGAAAATGGCTTTTTGCTAACTTGATGCTAATTTTTCTGTCAGAGGCAAAAAATTAGTTAAAAAGAATTCCAGGTCTTACCAATTTTTGGAAAGTTGCTAGAATAGTAAACTGTTCTTTCTTGTTTCCTTGGTAGAAGGCAATTTCTTCACTAAAATAATATATTGTATTGTATTATCATTTAATATGTGACTCCTGCTGCCATGTTAGTCACAAATCAATTTTTTTAAAAAACTGTGATTTAAGGCTTATCTTAAAGAGCACTGAAACATAACAGCTTTTTGGGAGTATATAAAAGGAGATATGCACCTCTATAGTTTAAAATTCAATTTTCTTTGCACTAGCTATGATTATTAAGGCACTATTTCACACTTTATATATGATTTTTGTGGCAAACTAGTCTAACCTTATTTGGAGAAACTGGTGAGCCTTATTTGGAGAAACTTATCTAATATCATTTTGATCACTACCAATGGAAATCTTTTCTTGCTCTATTCCCACTATTTTCCTATTCTACTACCTAATTATAAGCACATTTTAAATGGGCATATTCAGCATGATATGATCAGAATATAAACAATGTTTAGATTGTATTAGCCTTACCTATTAGTAATTAATCGAGAATTTACATAACGATACTCTCCTTCCAATCTTTGTTCTGTGACTGTCATGCGTCCAATAGGTCTCCGTACCCTGTAAAATATATTAACATACCAAATCTGAATATTGTAAATAATATTGAGATTAGAATTAGGTAATCTTCAAACTGATAAGAAGATCACGAGTACACATGAAACATCAAACCTCTGACAGAAACTTTAGAGACATTTTTTAAGGTGAAATTCCTGGTTAAGTCCAATTCTCTAATGAATAATCATTTAGTTTTCAGCATGAAAATACTTGACTAACTTAGTGATAGTGGCACTGTTTAATGGCATTATACGGTGGCATAACAGATAAAGTCACTATATACAAAATAATAAACAGTAACTAATTAAATATCCAATAGTAATTTACTCACCTTGTAAGAACTAACCCAGAAACTGCTAAATACATCAACATATAGCCAGGTCCCTAAAAAGAAATTATCATTTATAAATCTATGTTTTTCATTAATATGAAATAGTGTTTAATAATATAATGAGAGATAGATTTTCATATACAGTAGAATCTGTACAAGCAGCCACTCATATTCAGCGACATCTCCTCTAATGCGGCCACTGGTCACTATTTTACTAATAAATTTAACAAAACATTGCTCATTCAACAGCCATTGTTGAATAATACCATGTTCTTGTCATATTTCGTAGCACCTCTAATTAATGGTTATCTGTCCCCCACCTATCAGGTAAAAAGAACTGTGAAAATAACAATAAACCTTGGATTATCTGTTAATTAATCTTTTGTTTTATTAAATGACAAACCTTGATCATTGTTTTCACACGTAATGAAACATTACTTGATACTGATTGAATAAAAAAATACCGTCAAAGCCGAGTTTTGTCATGATCACCTAGTATCTATTTTCCATCGCCACTTTGTTGCTAAACAGATGTTTAAGCGCCTCCTATATTTCATACAGAGTCACACTCCTTGAAAATCGGTGATAAATTCAGCAATGTTTTTTTGGCATGTGCTTTTTTGATAAAATAAAATTAATTCATGAATTTTCTTCACAAAAATGGAGAAATATTATCGAAAACATCACAATGGTAGACAGTAGTACCAATGTTGGCACAAAATGACACATTTACAGAAGTTATATCTGAGATTTGAGTGAAAGAATTTTCGTTCCAAGCAAGTTTCAGTGATCGCCAAATTTACCGATGCAAGTACTGATGTTTGCCCCCAAAGCATCCAAGGTTAAAATTTACTTGATGTTAGCACTAACAAACACTGAGATTTTATTAAGAGATCACTCCCATTAAGCGGTCAGTCCCGAAAATTCCCTTTCTCGTGAGTGGCTGTTTAATACAGATTCTACTGTATTACAGTAATGAAGATGTAAGACATTATATACCTGAAATGATAATTAATGAAAGCATGACATATAACAGTACATCTTACCTGTGCTCCTATAGCCCCTGTTAATTTTATACTATACAATATTACATCTAGTATAGGCTGAAAATATAGAACACATCATTAATTCATATTGTATAAATAGGACTGTATAGAATATTTGACACAGGTGATAGGGTGACCTTTATGAAAGGAATAACATTTTTCTGAAGAAAATCTTATGGCATGGCAGTTATATTGAACTAACACTGGATTTAATTTGCAGTAGCAGCTAGTATTTGCTTTGGCTTTAAACACAGTTTTGTCATTTGCAATAGTCAATTTCTACTGCTAGTTACAGACATATGAATGGTGGTGAACAATGATGTAAAGCGTCAACATTTAACTCCAAATTGGAGTAGTCCAATTGGTAGTTAAGATATAGAGCAGACCCAGATTATGAACATGGACTCAGGTTCTTCTAATATAAACTACGATTTTTATCTCGACTTTCAAGGTAGAGACTCCAACCTTCCAAAACAGTCCACAAACAAAAGGTTCATGTTTCAGAAAACAATTTGCTACTTTACAGGTCAACACAAATTTCAAAATATTAGGAATTATTATCATTATATATTATTCCCTTTTTTTAAAGGTGAAAGTCAATAGACATAAAACAACAGACTATCACATGATTACATACCTTACTTAAATTTGAATACAGATCAGCAACTGAATCACAGAATTTTTCTACATCTTGTGTTAAAAGTTGATCAGGGTTAGATATCCGATTATCTAAATTACTCATCTTATAAAAAGTAAAACCTCTGTAAATAATGAATATACATATTTCAAACATAATTATTCATATATACCAAATAATATCTGTATTATGTAAATCACACATATTGAAGGACTAGATCATTTGTATTGCGTGTTATACAGTGTTCTTAGAATTATGTGTCAGTTTCAATGAGTGACCATACAGTGTGTTCATCCCACATGTTTTCAATCTGCCAGGACATTATTGGAAATGATTATTTACATTTCGATGTTATTTCAGACTATTACAAAATACAGAAATGACTTTTAGGGATTAATATTCAATGCCTCTGAAATAATGACTTTTTTGTGTATTTACCCAAATTTATTATTATTGTTATTTGTTTACATTTGTCATGTATTATAAGGTCCCTGCTATTGTCAGACGTCATGCAGTCACTTGTCATGGGATTGGCATTCTAGTCTAGGCCTTTAAAGGAACATTAATTGTCATATCTTGTCATAGTCTAATAACTGTCTTCTTTCATCATAGTCTAATCCTTTAAAGGCACATTTATGTCACAATGAGTTCTAGTCCTTATTGTCGTTTACTTTTGTCTTTTTAGAATGAATGATATGGTATATGATATGACATATGATGGCACGATATGAATGATATGATTGACTATATGTATAAACATCTGTAATGTCTGAAGCCCTTGAATAGCTACAATGCGAGTAGTCACAACAGATGGCAATGTGATAATGACGAATTAGAAGAGTAGGACAACTTACTTAGTCAGAATTGGAACATTTCCTATATTAAAATTCTTGTGAGCAAATAACTGCTGATCAAGACAATGAATGAAAAATACTAAAATTGCTAATCAGTATGTCCATATTGCTCTGTAAATTAATAGCAAAGAAAAAAACGCTGCTATCCAAAGAAAGAAAAGTATTTTGTACTCAAAACAGTCAATCCCAAAGCAGTTGGGAAAAAAAATTAAAATTGTGAGACCTGAAGAGTTGGCAATGCCATGGGCAATACTGTAAATCTTTGAAAATTTATGCAAAACTCCAGTATTTGATAGCATTTCTCATTATGATTTATCATTAGCTACAGTATCCCATCAAGGTTGTTAAAAAAAAAGGACAATTAATTGGAAATGTCAACTTATAAAGGAAAAGAAGAATTATATGATACATTACAATACTTACTTGAGATAACTGTCATATAAATGTATTGATAATCTAGTTCTAAATCTTAATTTAAGTTCATTTAAACCATACTGAAATACATAATAATTAATAATTTTAAAGATACATTCCCACGTACAAACTGGGTGATTTGATGATATATTTGGACTAAAAACATATTGTACTAATTAATTTATCATAATTTTGCTTCAAATCCTTCTCAAAACATTGTAATTGCCAAGGAATACACTGCTATAAAAATCGATCAAAAGAGGTCATGTTTGTGTCACGTGACTTACCTATCTTGGTACCTATAGCAACGGGGGTGAAGTCGGAGGAGAATTCATTGTATACACAAGACAATGTTGTCTTTAATCGCTCACTATTTATTACAAATATCGAATCCTAATTAAATTCTCGGATTATCCACTGCCAGGGTCTTTTTCCGTGATTTTTATCTCAGAAAGTGTTGTACGTCTAACTCTTCATAAAGTTTATAACATGTACAACAAGCGCTCAATCTTCGCGTGCAACCTTCGACGTCACACATGCAGGTATTCCTAATCGTCGGGCTATCGATTAGGGGAACCCTTACATTTTTGTCCTGTATACGCTCCATGAGTGTTTTTCAGGGAATCCAGTATATTTCTAGTAAGATTGGATATCTCTACTTTCCATATATACCAAAATTGCCATACTTTTATTGGAAATAACCACCCGATAAATACTTTTCTGGAAACCTATCTTTAATTGCCCTCCAAATCATCTATTTTGTGTTAAAGATGCATTGTGTAAATAAAATTGTGTAATAGGCTAGCATTTTCATTGACATGGCTTCTTAATAAATCCATAAATTAGAGTATTGGCTATTCGAACGACAACATACAGAAATGCGCTGATAATTATATCATTTTATCTTTAAAGGGCCTCGGATAAAAAAAATGTGTATTTTCTGTTATGTTATCTGATGTTTTCAGGGTAATATATTCTTTTAGTGAAGTAATATAAAATTTTGTTGCTAGTGATACACCCATTCGGAAACCACCATGCAAGGGCCGATAAACTAGGCGACATAGATATGAAATTGGCTGAAATCTATCACAAGGTTTATCAGAAAAGGTTGAAAAATGTATATTATTAAAAATCAAATCTTACCTTTAATATATTATTTACAATAGACATCTGAAAATAACAAATAAAAGCATTCAGTAAAACATTAAAATAGCAAAGGTATCAGTAAAAGAAATAACTCAAAAAATATATACATGTACAGTGGATTCTGTCACTTTTAACATTGTATAGGAGTGTTAAAAATATGCCGGATTACACAGCATGACAAAAAACTCAATACCAGAACATGCACAAATGATTGATGTCCTTTTTGAAACACAGCCTGTATGTTCAATTTTGGAATTGCATGTCGCTGCTAGTTTGACATAAGTAAAGCTCATATAATGATCCAAACAACGAGATAATGGTAATTATATTTGCCATATTCTATGAATATATTATTCAGTCATAAATCCAAATACGTAGATCCATGGTGATCAATATCCATTTTGAACATGAGTGAGAAAAATCTATTGACATTATGCATGCACACTGGTTTCAAATATTTAACCATACGTTTTTAGATGATTTATTATTGAAACATCGTAATTATTGTTGTTATAATAAACAAAGACTGATAAGATAATTGATTGGTGATTGTTTGTCAAATCTTTTGTAGGTTAACAACCACTGAATAAAGGTTGGATTATAGTATGTTAATTCAATATAATTCATGTGACGGGACCGCTAATTGATGTTGTAATTCATTATATTTTCAGAATACAGACTATTCAAAACTCTCTTGGGACTTGAAAATGATGATGCAGGTGACAAAATTCTGTAGTATTCAGAAGCCAAATGTGACAAATTCCACTGTAAAACCATTAACAGTATATCAGCCTTGGAGACAGATAAAAATACATACCATCGGCATAGCATAAATAAATTTCCATAAATGGCTTTTGAAGAGATTCATATCCCGTCCTATAATTGCACTGAAATAAAAAAAAAATAAAAAAATGCTATCTTTGATAAAACTATGATTTTGTATGTAATGCTATTGATATTAATTTTATAAACCTTGTAATTGTTAAAGGAGCTAAACCTCTATAATTTAGGTCAAAATAAAGTATTGAATTAGATGATTTTGATGTGACTGGGCATTCTCTACACAATTAAATTTTTGTTCCAAATTATCTGGAAGTTGGCTTGTTAATGTTTACTAATATTAACTTCATTTTCAGCATACTTTGTCAACAGGGGAATACAACATAGATTATGTCTCAACACTGCCTTTATCTATAGACAAAGCCAGACTGTCAACCCACAAAACAAATCAACATTTAAAGGTTCTTTAAATCAATTGATTAGTTGTTTTTCTTTTTAAATTCTCAAGAGTGTACACACACTAATTCATACAATTTTTACAGAAATTGCATTTAGCCATATAACCGAGAAAGTTACCTTTCTATAGCAGTTCCGTTCTGTATCATCCACACATCAGCATATGTTCTGGCAATCAAAGACCATGCAACAAGTAATAGGTACCATGTCTAAAATTAATATTCATTTTGATAATCATAAATGCATTATTGTGAAGGAGAAATGACAAGAACAATTCAATTTCTTTATATCCTACTAGCAGGATACCCGGCTTCGCTCAGGGGTCATAACTCTGAAACCGGAAGTGGTAGACTAACGCCACCTGGCCTATGTTACTCCCCGGTCCGAGCTACCCCTATACCCCAAATTTCAGACTCGGGGCAGATGTAGTCGCCAACCCCGAACAGACTTCGCTCGGGGGTCATAACTCCGAAACCGGAAGTGGTAGACTAACGCCACCTGGACTATGTTACTCCCCGGTCGGAGCTACCCCTATACCCCAAATTTCAGACTTGGGGCAGATGTAGCCGCCAACCCCGAACAGACAGACTTCGCTCGGGGGTCATAACTCTGAAACCGGAAGTGGTAGACTAACGCCACCTGGCCTATGTTACTCCCCAGTCGGAGCTACCCCTATACCCCAAATTTCAGACTCGGGGCAGGTGTAGCCGCCAACCCCGAACAGACCGGCTTCGCTCGGGGGGCATAACTCCGAAACCGGAAGTGGTAGACTAACGCCACCTGGCCTATGTTACTCCCCGGTCCGAGCTATTCCTATACCCCAAATTTCAGAGTCAGGGCAGACCTTGTGTAGCTGTCAACCCCGAACAGACAGACAGACAGACAAACAACAGTCACAAATATATATATAGATTACTTAAAGGGGCATTATGGGAGATTAGACAGTTCTCGCTATAATAGTTAAAAATTAAATAATGTAAATAGAATATGCTTAAAATTTCAGTCAAATTGCTCCATTCTGAACCGAGATATTAGCCTTTGAAGTTTAGGCTAGCCTCAATCATCATTACTAAAGTTGGTACGATAAAAAAACAAAGTCTTGATTATCCATTTTACGTTTAATTATTTTTCAAAAAATTCATTCCAATCTGCTTAATATCGCAGGCTAGCGATGGCAACTAGAGTTGATTGTGGTCTGGATAAGTTAATAAATGTCGAATTAAAAATTTAGATAACATTTCAGGTCTAAAGAAAGACGAAAAACCTGCAATAGGTAGATTTAGCTTGTGCATAATGCATGTTTAAATAGTCTAGACTAGAAATCTTTGTTATTTGCCATTCGACAGAAGTGCTTCCAATTGTTTTTTTTGCATTTTCTGAAAGACGAAGGACCTGCAAAAGGCAGATTTAGCTCTTGCATAATGTATGTTTAAGTAGTCTAGACTAGAAATCTTTGTTATCTGCCAATCGGCAGAGGTGCTTCCAATTGCTATATTTGCATTTTCTGACTATTTCATGCAATTACATGAAAGCTCAAAATTGACATGGGAAATTATCTGAAACCCAGATATAGCATGATACATTTATAATATTTTATAAAAGATACAAACCTCTGGAGTAAACCAGCCTGGGACTAAAATCTTTAAAATACGAATCAATCGACTGAAATTAAGAACATGAAAGTCAATGTCCACAAGTCGTAACAATAGTGTAGCTTTAAGATTGAAGTGAATTACAGTTTTGTCAAGTCAACCCATGTCCACAGAGCACATAATGACAAAATGGCATAAAAACTGTCAATGCAGTTCTGTGTGCTTGCAGTTGTTTTTGCCATTTATGTTGGATATTGGCTTTTTCATCGAACTTCAAACTATAAATTTGTCATTAACATTAACTTCAACATAATCTGAAAGGATCTCAAAACTTTTGAAGAGTATCAAACCTGGACTAATAATAAGACTATAATTTGTATTCTTACCCGAAAAAGATAGAATCAACTGCAGCTTTTTCCCTCTTCTGGTCATGCTGAAAAAAAGCAAAGATAAAATACAATGTGCCACTCAATGTTTTGTTGTCAGAAAGTTGTAAAAGTTGTTGTAACATGGTACAAAACAAGCTGTTGACATTTGTCATCCTTAAGGCTGTGATAAACAAACATCATGTGCATCTTTAACTAATAAAACTAGCAATGTGGCCATTTCACCTTATGCTTCGATAAACATATCACCAAGTTCTACATTACATCAGGAACTCTGCCCTGTATTAAGTTCACTAGAGTTCATAACTTTGGACATAAACAGGGAAAAAAACTCAATTTTTTAAAAAATTTTGATAGTAGTGCCCCAGTAACATAAGTCACAAGATTTAAAAGTCAAAATATGACTAGAAAGATACCTTGAAAGAACATTTGTAATTGGAAAATATTGAAATTCAATCGGGTTCTTCCCAATGCCTTTATAAACTATCGATACAAAAATGCAATAAGAACTCTAACCAGTAGCTTTTTACAAGAATTTGTGGACATAAAATAAAAGTAGTCTTAATGTTTATATTACAATCAGCGTAAAATTTAAACGACAGTTTCGCAATATACATCCATATTCCTGCTTTGATTGATATGGTACTTTTTAAAATGAAGAGAATGAAATATGAATCATAAAATGGCTGCAATGACTGTAATATGACAATTTAAAGACTAAATATTAACAAAAAAGTGGGTGTGACACTGCCCGAGGGGTTCGTGGCCTGCACCAAAATAAATAGTTGCTGTCTTTACGGTAAAAGGAATAAATATGCGAAGTTCCAAGAAGATCCATTTAGAATTGCAGTCTGTAGATGATAAATACAAAAATTGGGTGTGGTTCTGACCCTCAGGGGTGGATATGGAATAATATAAATAGGTACCACCCTGTTACTGAAATAATTGATATGCTCAATTTGAACAAAATCTGTTAATTATTGCAACCTGTAGAGTATTTACAGATAAAAACAAGCCAAAAGTGAGGCTGATGTCCCCCGCCAAAATCCCAAAATAAATAGATAACACATATTAATTTATCGCACATTTATTTTTTTCTAAAGTATCAAGCAATCAAACAGATTATCAACTATACACTAAGTTCCATAACTCTCTATCAGATAGAATCAAAGTTATCTTGTCCTAAAGCATCGACCAATGAAATTGCTTAGCTCTGCTTAGCTTTAGCTCGAAATGTTAATCATTGAACTCAGTCAAGACATTCACCAATGAACATCTACATCAAGTTTAAACATTCTACCTCAATTAAAAGCAGAGTTGTTATGTTCCAAAGTCTTGACCAATCAAATTGCTTATAACTCCTTAGCGGGGGATAATTAACAAAAAAGGGGGTGTGGTACCACTATACCACATCCCTGGGGGATGGGACATGCACCAAAATAAATAGTTGCTATCCTTACAGTATAAGGAATAAATATGCCAAGATGATCTATTTAGAATTCCTGCCTATGTCCCTTTATTTTCGGTAAAAATGTCCGACAAGAAAAATTTTGAAATTCCATCACTGACTGTGACACCGCCCCAGGAGGTCGGGGCATGCACCCCAAATAAATAATTGCTGTCTTTACGGTATAAGAAATTAAGTAATTTAGATAATCAGACCAATAGAAATTTAAAGTGCACTCATAATCAGACATGTAAGACAAAATAATCTACACTAACGCCATAAACAAATCCTGCACTAAAAACGGTACTTAATTTGATCTGTCTGCCAATAAGGGTGTGGTCTGTAGTGATTAAAATATAAACTTATACGCAACACTCATTTTTGGGTCCCCCATTACATGCATGGTTAGAGTGTTCTTCATGAATATGCTTGTCCTTCAATAACACTGACTGAAAATTTAATTATCTAAGGTATTTTATCTATGTTTAATTACCATTTTTTTTCCTTGTTAATATTAAATTGTACTAGTAAATCAATCTAAATTGACAATAAATCTGTTACCTGTGATATAACTACTTTTATTTCTTTATCTTTGTTTCTGAAATAAAAATCAAAATAAGAAAATTAAAGAGACATAATAATGATGAATTTTAATAGTCATATGAAGTAACTCGATGCAGTAGCCGCACCCACAACCCCCAAAATGTATTGTTAAATTTATCAAACAATAATCCTACACTATTTGAAAATGCAGGACACTTGACCTAATCCATGGGTAAATCCAGCTAAACACTTCATCGAATCACAGGTCACTGTGTAAGAACTTTTCATTAAGTAAAAAGATAGGTTGCCAGGCAACGAAACATACACCCACAGCAGCTAAATCGTCCGGCCTGTCAACAAGAGTTGTCGCATATTTTTACTTTTTTCGGTAATGAAACATTTATAATACACTAAAATCTGATTAAGAGTAAAAACTCATTAAGTAATTATCAGAAAACCATTAGAATTTGTTTGGTTTGTATAAAGTTCTGCCCTATGCTAATGTTTAGTAAACGAAACATTTAGTTATCAAACTTCATTGGAAATCAATATACTTGTTCGTCTCAAGACCTTAAACTCTGTGTATCAATCTGCAGTCAATCGGATGATAACTTTAGCCTCTAGAGCATCCACAAGATATTTTGAAGTGATCAAGGGCCATAACTCTGGCAGTAAAAATCAGAAATTGCTGAAAATCAATAGGCTTCTTCATCTCATGACCTTAAACACTGTGTATAAATGTGAAGTCAATCAGATATTCACTTTGGCCTCTAGAGCGTCCACAAGCAATTGTGGACGCCGGACCGACGGATGGGGGTGACGACAATATACGACAACATTATAATGTGGGCATATAAAAAGGAAAATCTTTTATATCTCCATTTTTCTTAATTACCTTACTCTGTTAAAAATACATTATTCAAGAGCTAAATCTGCCCATTGCAGGCCTTTCTTTAGGCCTGAAATGTTATATAAACTATTAGACATTTATTAACAAAACGAGACCATAATCAACTCTCGATAGCATCGGATACTCAAGATTTTAACAAGATTAGAACAGTTCGCCATTTAAAAATTGAAAGCAAGGCCAAGTCTTGAATACCAATGCCCTGGTTACCACTGTGCACACATCTGTTCAAAACTACAAACAGTAATATCTTGGTTCAGAATAAAGTAATTTGAATGAAATTTTTCAATCTTTTCATTTTACATTATCTATTTTTGAGCTATTATAGCAAGAATGGTCAGCTTTGTATCTAAATCTTACATAATGTATCTTTAATGTTTTTTTATTCAGACCCACATCATTTTCCTGATCATTATGAAGTTTGGGCTACATTATGGTATCAATAATGTCATAAGTTTTAACTATAGTCTAACAGGGAAAAACCCCTTGAGTATCAGAATTATAGCATTGTATCCCTTTAATTACATTGAAAAATAATTTACATACAAAGGGAGTATTTATTTTGGTATTACACACAATGCATGATAAAACAAACTTAAATATAGTAAATAGAAGACTAAATTTTACACAAGATAAATTTGGAAAACAATACATTTAAATATATATCAGACAGTGTAAAGAATATATAAATAACCTGGGAAATGTAGATCAAAACCAATGATGTGGGATGGTCTTTGGACTTTGGAAGGTCAATGATCCCAGTTTATAGCCTTTTTTTAACCTATTTGATAGCTTATGAACTATGAAACCTGCTATTAATATGATGTAACAAGGAATATTATATAGACAAGCTGTTTTGTTAAGGCTTTTAATAAAAATTTTATCTATATGTATTCTTTCTTTTTCTCAGTCAATATGAAATAACAAACATAAAAAAAGCCCTTTAATCTCATCACTATATGATAAACTGTACTATAATCACCTCTCTACCTAGTTAAAAAAAAAACACCGGCAATTGCTCAAGTACCTGAAAAGGATCCTGATATCACAAGTGGTATTTTTTTCAGAGTGCCGGCTACACGTCTACTGTTACAGTGTGTAACCAATCTATAAGTTTACACATATGTAACAATTATAGTAGTCCAACTAAGATTCAATACACATTTGCCAATCACTTATAGTGAGCTAAACGTAATATCCAATACTTTGTTGGCAAATTTTTAGGATATGAGTACACAGTTTAGCAAATACAAGTAATTCTTAAAAGGCTTACAAATTATGCAAATTGTTCAAAACTGTACATACATTTTAGTTACAATTTAATACGATTTCGAACAATCTATTTGTATCAGTCAGGATAAGATATGTGAGTATACTGAGAGTCCGAACATCATTTTGTTCTAGTCCCAATGTTTAGCTCAATTCCTAACCTCATCTAAATTTTCTTGGAATCTTCAGAAAAACTGACAAAACCCCCCAGAACATTCTCTTTTACTGGATGCTTGATTGAACGTTCCAGAAGGAATTCACTTAATCCTACAAATGGTGACAACTTGAACTATTGAACTATGTGCTGACAGCCAAAACAATTCTATTAGGCTTATATATAAACCCTACCTCAGTTATCGCAACTGACAGAATCATGACACAGGACTGAATTCGGTGTTAGTCTGTTGCAATTATGTACATGTTCCGGTCAACAATCGAAATTGTGATGGCGTCTAAATGTATCTAAATGACGAATTTCTGAACACTTGACATAACCACAGAAATTATTTTTTGTATCATTTAATAATAAGGTACATGATGAGCTATCAGTATGACATAATCCATCCTTAGTATCCCCAGTGGCATCGTCCCGTTCTACTCCACCACTAGGAATACAGAGGATGGTCATAACCTTAACCCAATCCAAAACAAACTCAATGTAAAAAGACAGTACATATAGTACTGTAACTGTAGACCTAAAGAGGGAATTCATGGTTTGTACCTTTCTTATAAGTTATAGCTTTAACTTATACCAGAATGGATTTTCTAGGAAAACAATTAAAAATTGCAATAACATATACCTTCTTTGTTTTGCACTGAAAATATTTTTAATCGTCAGATATGAAGCCAGGCCCGCAAGCGTAATAATAGCCGAATTCCTTGGCGTTAGTTTACTGAACACAGCCATGGTTTTCTTCACATACAGGACAAAGTTTACTTCCGGTTTACTGGATGAAAGAGCACCTGTAGGAAGGTGGCGCTCAGATGAAAATGATGAATGGCGGCAAGCGAAAGAAGAAAACGTGATTGTAAGCAATGAGAATATTATTATTCATATCAGCTTGAATATCAAGAATTGATTGATATAGGCCTTTTGGAATTACTGTTTAAGGATATGGAAACTGTGTTTTAGTAATTGTACGTGGCCTGGATCAACTGTACGTACGGCCACTGTCTTATGATATCTATTAGTGATAGAAATTAGAAGACTCGGAAGAAGCAAAATTAAAAATAATCTATTAGGGGTTTCCAAAAAAAAAATATTTTGTGAAAATATACCTAAAATGCTAACTAAAAAACTTTATTTTATGAAAATATTCTAATTAGATCCAAATTGGTGCAGGCCGGACTGTCATGGAGGACCTGGCAAGTTAAAGTGCCTAGTCGGTCGGATGGGAGGAAAACCCATGCCCTGTGTATGCACTCATCATATGCACTGATTGTAAAAGAACCCTTGACAATTGGAATTCAAAATAAGAGTAGGTTATAGCGCCACTGTCCGCTGCCCTTCTTGAAGTTCTTTATTACTCGGTGCAGAAAAGCAGGACATTAAACCCCATTTCATTCCATATGAATTAGCATACAACACTTCAAAAGTTCTGTATTCTAGGATTAAGGTTCGCTTTTGTGTTAGGTTCATCAATATCCTCTGCTTGTCTGACGAAGGGTACCTGGCAAAATTCTGGTTCATAATTTAGTTTTAAGGACATAACCCGATGGTAATAAATAGGGATTTAACTAATTTCAGAAACTCTTGGTCAACAGCAAAACCTGACTCTTGTTTATCGAACATGTACAAACAAAGCTTGTCAATATAAATTCTTTTGCATCTACTGGAGCAAAAACCCACATCGAAATAGGGCTTAAGCTTCTAAATTTAATTGTCCTTTCATTTAATTTGCAACCAATTTCGGCGAGACTACAAATTGGCGACAACACCGGCAGACTAGAGAATCCAGACAATATTAGCACACAAGGAATGAACAGTTGCTGATTCGACTAGTTCGGGCAAATGGTTACCGTTTATAATTTTAGGATCAGTATGTGAAAGCGGGTAGTAAGCTTAAATCAAGCAAAAATTATTCACACACATTAATTTATTCAAATGTTACATATTATTTCTTTACAGAATAAGATAACATTAAAGATGGCTTCAATTATTGGCAGTGGTTTACCTCCTTTTGCTCAGCAAGATGTTTTGGATAATGCTGGAAGATTGATAGATAAACATATACAGGAAGATCAAAGTTATGTTGATCTGTCTGAACTTATTAGAGTTCAAACTCATAGTAAGTAATGTGATACTCTAAGCTCTAGAGTTCAAACTCATAGTAAGTAATGTCATACTCTAAGCTCTATAACCCAAGGCGAACACAAAGTCAAATTTAAAGGAGCTAAATTGCTAATATTTGGAACCTAGAAATTGATACAATAATGTTATCTGAATGTATATGAACTGATTTACATTCTATCGTTTCTGTTTTTAATTTCAAATCAGTTATGTTCGGCGAAATATGCCAGAAGTCTCAGTCGAATATCAATTTGTAGTGTCTGGTTATTCCAGTCTATTACGCATGTTCTCCATATAAGAATATGGCGTCAGCGCTTGACATGATTATGGAATCTCTAGTCTCGTTCTTTCTTGTCCCTTGTTAAAAATGACACTGAAACGCATTATGGTAAAATGTTTATTTTGTCTTAAATATTGGATATCAGAAGCCCATCTTTTCCCGGTAAGATCACAACAACAATGTTGATTTAAACTGACAAATAATTGGTGTTTTCAATGTGGAAGATTTTGGATGATGTTGAGTTGGAGACTTAGCTACTTAAGTATGAAGGTGGGATCAGCATGCCTTGCATCACTAGACTGATGGTTATCGAGAAGCCTATACAATTGCATTACAGCCGTCTTTTCTGTGGTGAACCGTTGTGATAGTCGCTAAGCGTACATGCACATTTGGACTGGTATGTAATATACTGAAATATTAAAGTCACCCAGTCAATCGTGGCCATATTTAGTAATTAAGACAAGGTGGCATCATCAAGATGGAGGCAGGGTTGAAAAACCCCCACAAAAACACTGTGTTTTTTTGGTTTAAAACATGTTTAATTTGTTCAAAATAAATGAGGTCAAAATTGCAAAATAAAAAAAATTCTCAATAAAACATAACTGAAATTACATATTGGTTATTCTGTAAATAAAAACTAGCTTTCCAGCCTTCTCCACACCTAACCTGTTTCAGAGTTTAGAATGCACCAAGCCGAATGTTTGAATATACGATCGATACTTGCTGGAGAACATGATGCCGTCATTTATGTGCTGACCAAGTCCGAAATTCTCAAATCAAGGTTCTTTGGACTGATTTCCACCACGAAAGACATCTTGTTTTGGAAAGTAATTCGGGTTTAAATAGATATGGTTTAGATATATCAGATTGTGCTCTGTACTATTGCTGGCATGATATATCTTTGAATCTATGTATTGCGATTCACCTTCTTACGATTCGCGTATTGAATCACAAGTTACACTATCAATGTATCACGATTCTTTTTTTATACGCCCACATTTTCATGTGGACATATATTGTCGTCACCCCTGTCCGTCAGTCCACAATTGTTTGTGAAATCTCTACAGGTCACAATTTTTATCCGATTTCAATGAAACTTGAGATATAGGTTTATCACCCTAAGATCTCGGTTCCTTTCGATATTGGCATGCATCAGACTGTAACGTCATGGATTATCGCCCCGATTACGAAAAATCATGTTTTTAGCTTGTGAACACTGTAGAGATCACAATTTTTATCCAATTTGGTTTAAACTTGAAATGTATGTACCTTTCAATATTCGTGCATATCGGACCATAACTTCCTGAATTATGGCCCCTGATTGTCTGGAAAATCGTGTTTTTAGCTTGTGGACCCTATAGAGGTCACAATTTTTATCCGTTCTAAAAAAATGTTTGAATATATCACCGTTAAATCCTAAGCTTGTGGACTCTATAGAGGGGCACGATTTTTATCCGATTTAAAAAAAAACAATTGAATATATCCTAAGCTTGTGAACACTATAGAGGTCACAATTTTTATCTGATTTAAAGAAAACATTTGAATATATCACCGTTACATCCTAAGGATGGTTGAGTTTGAATTTCGTGAAATTGGACCAAAACTACTGGACAAAATGGCTGCTGCTCTTACGCAAATAGTGTCAAAATATTGTGTATCAGGGTTGTGGACCTTCTAGAGATCACAATTTTGATCCAATTTCGATGAAACTTGAAATACAGGTTTATAAACCAAAGATCTTGGTTCTTTTCGAGATTTGTGCATATCGGACAATAACTTCCCGAATTATGGCCCTTGATTTTACGAAAAGTCACGTTTTTAGCTTGTTGTTCCTCTAGAGGTCACAATTGTTATCCGATGTAACAAAAACATTTGAATATATCACCTTTACACCCTACTGATGGTTGTATGTCCCAAAGATTTCGGTTCCTTTCGCCATTTGCGCATATCAGATCGTAACTTCCTGGATTATGCCCCCTAATTGTACGAAAAATCATGTTTTTAGCTAATAGATATTGGGCCCTCTAGATGTCATAATTTTTATCTGATTTTAAAAACCATAATGATGGTTGAGTTTGAATTTCGTAAAAATCAGATCGAAACTCAAACTGCCCGACAAAATGGCTGCTCCTTGTATGCAAATTGTGTAAAAGTATGTAATACGAAGGTTGTGGACTCTCTAGAGGTCACAATTTTTATCCGATTTATATGAAACTTAAAACATATCTTAATATCCCAAAGATCTCAGTCCCTTTTGATATTTGTGCATTTCAGACCATAACTTTCTGGATTATTGCCCCAGATTGTACAAAAGATCCCGTTTGTTTTTAGCTTGTTCTCTATCCATCTCTTGCAAAATGTGGGCGTATCCTGCCTGGCAGCCGCTGGTTCCAAGTTATATTCAATTTTCTTCCAGACATTGTGTTACTTCCAAATGATTTAAGCTAATGAAATAACTCAGTTCAAGTACAGGGCACTTTATTTGAGTCAATGATAAGTTTAAAACAAAATATCAAAGAAATTAAATATTGTTTTGCTAACTAAAAGATCAAAGGATTCATTCATATGCCACCATTTAAGGTGGGCCTACTAGGTGTATATGTCAGTTCAAGTTACAGGTCCCTTTACAATTATGATTACAATGTTGTAGAAATGTCTTTCTTCGATCTTTCATACCAGTTATATGATTAGTCCTAGCAATTTTTTTTTATTATTGAAATATGGGTAATTGGTTAAAATAATTATGTAAACTGTCTGAACAATCAGTATGTATCTTTCAAGTTCAACATTGATCTCCAGTATTTATAATACAGGGTCCTGATAATGTGCATTTCATTGGCTGAAATGTTTAGAAATGTTTTGATAATAACGTAGGCTATTTTTCCATTTCTCCGATTAAAAATGATAAAAAGAAAAATATATAGAATGTTTTTGGGGTTTTTTCCCCCAAGTGGTTCAAACATTTAAAACATTATAATAGTTAAAAGCTAGATAATGTAATGGGAATTTGCTGAAAATTTCAAATTGATCCACTGTGAACCAAGAATTTAGCATTTGAATTTTAGGCCTAGTCTTAGCCATCATTACTAAAGTCGGTACGATAAAAACATAGTCTCGATTATCCATTGTTGGATTAAATCATCATTGAAAGTTGAGCAGCAAATCGGATTCAAATCCAGTAAATATTGTAGGCTAGCGATGACATCAAGAGTTGATTATGGTCTGGATAAGTTAATTAATGTCTAACATTTCAGGCCGAAAGAAAGAACTGTAGTAGGTAGATAGATTTAGCCCTTGCATAATGTATGTTTTAACGAAATGTTTATTAACATGCCAACCCTGGATGGAGGTGGAGGGCTAGCGAGTTAATGCCCTGAATTTTTACATTTTTTTTCGAAGTTTGAGACAAGCTCCTCAATTAGCCAAGATCTTCTTTTATACTACTAACCATTCAAGCATTGTTTAAATTTTTAATTGCAGATCAGCCAACTGTTAGTGGCCTTCATGATTATGATTATCCAAGTCTATTAGAAGTAGGAATGGGGATTGATTCATTGAGAGAGGTGTCCAGTGCCAAGCGTGTCCCCTTACCACCAGAATTAGTTGAACAATTTGGACGTATCTTTTATTTCTACACACACTCACTCATGCTAGAAGAATACTTATCATTGTTAGAAATAGGGATAATAATATCTATTGTATTTAATATGTTGACTGCTTTGCTTATCAATAAATTTTCTGAACATTGTATAACAAGAAATTTATACAATTTGAAGGTAGTCAACATAAATGTATATTGAAATAAATGGAACTTGTCACACACTGTTCTTGTCTCAATTGATCCGGCGTGGTTCTCCCTTGTCAGTGATGCAGAACGGAGGGGCTGACAAGGAAAGCTGTCTAGTCGTTCGGATGGGACGAAAAACCAAGGTCTCGTGTACACATTGGCGTGCACGTAAAAGATCCCTTGGCAGTTGGAATTCGATATAAGAGTAGGCCGTAGTGCCGCTGTCCGGGCAAAATTTCCCTCATAGCACACTGTATGGCGTATGCCCGTCTTCATTAGCCCAGGTTAGGAGCAGAACAGTAGGAGGTTAAACTCCATTTCATTTCATTTCATTGTCTAAATTGAATTGCTTCTTATAATTTTGAAATATAATTAAGACACCCATCTTACAGTACATGTATACTCAGTCCTCAAATTTACGTTTAGATATCCCATTGTATGTTGAAAGTTGGGTATATGTGATTGTTATTGATAAACCTTAATCAGCTCTAGGTATGCAGTGTAGTTCCATGATGGGTTTATTTCCAGAAATCGAGAGAGCTTGGTTAGCTATAGATTCAGATATATTTGTATGGAGATATGAAGATGGGTGAGTAGAAAGTATATCTTTTATGGATTGAACCTGAATTAGGAACATTAAAGGCACGAAAAACTCCAGTTCATCCACTGAAAACTCAAGTTCAAAATATGTACTATTTTAATATAAAGACTTATGTAATTAAACACATCTGAGTATAAAATAGTTCTCTTAAATAGTATATGATCTTATACTTTTAATTGGCATGTTGGGCCGGTAAAATAAGGATTTGTGTGTTTTATTGGAAATCTAAAAAAATGATTGAAAGAAATAAAGTTCTATTATCTTATTTTCCAGAACTGATTTAGCATATTTTGATGGATTAAATGAAAATATTTTGAGTGTAGCACTAGTCAAACCAAAGAAAGGTAGGTCAACATAGAAAAATGGTGCAATATAGTTGTAGGGCTGATAAAAATTTTAGTTTGGTTCAGGTTTTTATCTGACCATTACCTCCAACCTAATGGGTTTTCTCAGCATCCTCTGGTTTCCTCCCACTGCTAAACACCCCTAGGCACAAGCGAATTATTGAAATAAAATTGAACCATATGTTAGTCCTGAAATAACCTAGTTTGTTTCAAGTGGCTCTCTCTCTCTCTCTCTGACCCTATAAGTGTTGTTATTTTTTGGGTTTTTTCGTTGACTTTCCTGAAAGATATTTTGTTTGTTTATTTTCCTGCTAACTGTATGGTATAAAGCCAGAAAAGATATTCTAATGTTTTTTAAATTTCTATTTCAGATATATTTCAGCCACACATTCGTTATTTATTATGTATAGCTACACCTGTCGATTTTGTACTACTTGGAGTTAGTTTTGCAAAAACATATGATGGTAAGTTTTTATACACGTTGAAATGTGGTCACATATTGTCGATTTTGTACTGCTTGGAGTTATTTTTGCAAAAACTTATGATGGTAAATTTTTATACACATTGAACTGTGGTCACAGATTGTCATTATCCTGTTGCCCTGCCTTTTACAGCCCAGTTGACTTAAAATTCATAGCTGATACTTATGACCCTTGATCACTTGAAAATCTAGTGGACCAATAGGCCAAATTGAAATGGAGTAAACAACCCCCAAATAATTTGGAACAAAGTGTTGATATAAATAAATATGTAGATAATTGTTAAGGTAATGAATGTTTTACATATGCAGGTGGAGGTGGTGAAGGAGGTATGGGAGAGATGCATTTACTACCTGATCCATTATTCTCTATACCTACTGATAATACTTATATAACATCTATTACTGGTACTGATAATGGTAGAATATTTATGGCAGGAAAAGATGGCTGTTTATATGAGTTAGTTTATCAGGTTAGAATATTTCACACTTTGTCAATAGAGGATACAACTTCTGAAATCTTCTGTTAGTGGAAAGTTGCTGGAATATCTGGATTTTATTTGTGAAGAGATTTTTGAAGAACTGTTTTGACAGCAATAATGGGGATAAAATTATGTTGCAGTGAAGTTTCCAAAGACACAGTGAAATGTGGACTTATATTGTCACACTGTGCGTGTTTTGTTTATTAAATGTTAGAACTACGAGGAACTATAAGCCAATACAGTTTTGATTATTTCTGATAATTTCTACATGATTTGTTACCCTTGATCAGTTATTAGTGTCTTGAAGTGCCCCCATTACCTAGGGGGGTTCGATGGCTGAATGGTTAACACGTGCGCGTTGTATCATGTGGTTGGTCATTAAGTAAACTGACGTGGTTTTGATTCCCTGGTTGTATGTGACAAGGTGTAGGATCGCCTGTCCAACCTTGTGGCTTTTCTCCGGATCCTCTGGTTTTCCTCCCATTGCTAAAGACCTATACGCGCAAGCGATTGATTGAAAAAAAATTGAACCACATGTTAGTCCCGAAATGACCTAGTTTTTGTTGAGTGGACGTTAAATCCCATTTCTCTCTCTCTCTCTCTCTCGCTCCCATTACCTACAAGCGAAAAAAATGCAACAACCTTTGTCAGTGTATATTTTGTTTCCTGGCAATATTTCTTTAATGACACCGATTGGTAATATTTTTTTGTGAACATTTTTATTTGAAAAAACTGAAAAAAACCCATTATATTGATAAATTACAGGCCCAAGATGGATGGTTCAGTAGAAAATGTCGAAAAATAAATCATTCAACTAGTAATTTATCCTTTCTCGTACCTTCATTCCTCAACTTCTCATTCAGTGAAGATGGTATGTATAGAAATCACATTGATAAAATCATCTTTTTGTATGTAATAACATTTACATGAATGACAAATGACAAAATTTGTTAGTACAGAGTGTCAACCACTGTTATTCAAGAACTTGCCCAGTCATCATCTCATACATAATGAGCTTCATTTTAAATATCTGGTAAGATAATGTCAAAAAATATGTTTCCCAGAGATTTGAATGTATTTTCCAGTTAGTGGATACGTATTAAGGATTTTGACTTTAATGGGAGGAAATATTTTGTACTTTCTAGCAAGTTGACTAACAGTGACCAGTAGAAGTCTAATCCATTAATTGACACTTTTGGCACAATAAGTACCCAGGTCATATTGTTTACCACTTCACAAATTCATTTGATTTAATTGTTTAAACTGTTATATTTATGGATGAATTATATTTTGTTTTTTTAGATCCACTAGTACAGATCAGTATAGATAATAGTCGTAATACTTTATTTGCTAGAACAGAGAAAGGAAATATACAGGTAGAGATTCAATTTTAGATAGCAAATGATGTTTGTCACATTATATACAATCTTAGTGTCATTTTATCTTTGATTTGTCATGTTTCCAAGATGGTTGATTGTTAATAAATCGCTGAAATAGTAGTCTGGGCTCAAAGCTTAAATCCAGTAATGCTTATTAGAAATGTGATTTGTTAAACAGTAAATGTTATTTACAGGTATTTGATTTAGGTGAAGATGGAAAGGGTATGGGACGAGTAGCATCACTATCACATCAAAATATTACACAAAGTGCTTACTTAATAGCCAGGTAAAAATACAACTAAAACATTCTTTTCCAAAGCATTGAAAATTCCCTACAACTGTCCTTTTACGAAAACTATTTTTATCCTGTAAACCAAGTCTACATAAATTGAATAATTATATGTAAAATAGCCAATGTAAATTCACAATGTGGGCGTCTATTGTCGTCGCCCCTGTGTGTGTGTGTGTATATGTATGTTTCTGTGTCTGTGGGTCACCTACAGGCCGCAATTCTTAATGAATTGTTTTGAAACTCACATATTTATTCCTTACCCTAAGGATGATTCCTATTGTTTTTGGTGCATGCCTGAGCCACGCACAATTTTTGTGTTTATCGTGTATAGGCCGCAATTATGAATAGATCGTCTTGGAACTTGACATATGTATTTCTTATAGCCTAAGGATGGCAACTATTGATTTTGGTGCATGCCCAGACCCCAGGGGCAGAGCCATGCCCATTTTTTGTTTTTTTCGCATCTGAAGGCCACACTTCGGAATGCATTATCTTGGAACTTGGTTTGCATCATGATCCATCGTAGGGTTGTACCTATTTGTATTATTCCATATCCAACAACCAGGCTGCAATTCTGAAAGGATCATCTTGGAACTTTGCATATTTATTCCCTATCCTGTAAAGACAGCAATTATTTATTTTGGTGCATTCCTCGACTCCCAGAAATGTGGACGTATATTGCAGCGGTACTGATGCTCTTGTTTTTTAAAATTATTGTCCCCCGCCTTTCGAAGAAAGCAGGGGACTATTAAAATGGGTTCGTCCGTCTGTCTGTCTGTCTGTCTGTCTGTCTGTCTGTCCGTCTGTCTGTCCTTCTGTCTGTCCGTCTGTCTGTCCGTCACACTTTTTGGGACACAATAACTCTCTTCCTAATTGAGCTAGAATGTTCAAACTTGGTGTATGTGTTTATTAGGTCAATGCCTTGATGGAGTTCGAAGATGAGCATTTTCCGCTTAGGGTAAGCAGAGATAAGCAATTTGATTGGTTGATGCTTTGGGACACGATAACTCTCTTCCTAATTGGGCTAGAATGTTCAAACTTGGTGTATGTGTTGATTAGGTCAATGCCTTGATGGAGTTCGAAGATGAGCATTTTCCGCTTAGGGTAAGCAGAGATAAGCAATTTGATTGGTTGATGCTTTGGGACACGATAACTTTTGATTGAGCTAGAATGTTCAAACTTGGTGTATGTGTTTATTAGGTCAATGCCTTGATGGAGTTCGAAGATGAGCATTTTCCGCTTAGGGTAAGCAGAGATAAGCAATTTGATTGGTTGATACTTTGGGGCACGATAACTCTCTTCCTAATTGAGCTAGAATGTTCAAACTTGGTGTATGTGTTGATTGGGTCAATGCCTTGATGGAGTTCGAAGATGAGCATTTTCCGCTTAGGGTAAGCAGAGATAAGCAATTTGATTGGTTGATGCTTTGGGACACGATAACTTTAGTTCTAATTAAGTGAGATTGATGAAACTTGGTGTATAGTTTCATTACAGTAATACCTTGACTAAGTTTGATAATGAGCATTTTCTGCTCAGGGTAAGCAGAGCGATACGCAATTTGATTGGTCGAGACTTTGGAAAACAATAACTCTCCTACTTTGATTGTCCCCCGCCTTTCGAAGAAAGCAGGGAACTATTAAAATGGGTTCGTCCGTCTGTCTGTTTGTCTGTCTGTCCGTTCCGCTTATGGTAAGCAGAAAAAACAAATTGAAAAAGAAACTATTATAAATTAATTAAATATGTAGTATGCAATAATGAATTGACATTTAATGACAGAAAGAAAACAGTGAACTTTGCACAACTTGCAGCAAGATGGAAAATAGACCCGTTGATACAACCAAACTCTAGATCTGTAGGCATAGAGCATGTTTTCCCCTTAATATGCTATAATTATTCCATCAAAAACATTGTATGCTTAGACTATAAGTAAAGATATACTGTTTGATTGTTCAATACTTTGTAAAAGATAATTTGTGATAAATTTATATGTGTCCTCTAATTATTTTCCTATTTCGGCGGGGGACATCAGCCTCACTGTTGGCTTGTTATCATATAAAACAATCATTGTACCATTGATATTTTCAACGACTACTTTCATTTTTCTACTGAATTTTAAATAGAGCACTTTACCCCGTTGATTGATCTAACTTTACATCTTTTATCATTTCATATTAAATAAACTAAAATCATTTGAATATGGTTGCAGAGAAGTTAATATCTTATTCTTAATATAATATTACTTGAAATTGTCTAATGGACTAGTACTTTTTCTTTCCAGGACAATTGATAGATCAAATTATAAAACATTAGTTAGTATTTCTGCTCTTACTAAAGCTGAATCATCTAATATACATTTAGTAGCTGTTACACATTCAGGTTAGTTATCATTTAATATAATATGTGGGCAACATTGTTAGACTTACTGGCATATGGTAAACTGGTGCTGCTTTGGATGGTCTAAAAGTATCATTAAGGCCAATAGTCTACAATGACAGCAGCAATATTTTGTCACTTCTGAACTGAATATGTCTCTATAACTCTACCCAAGCTATCACCTCGATAAGCTTTTACATGAATTCCAACAATGATAGTCCACCTGGTTTGAGATGTGTATGTGGCAGAAGGTGTCCAAAGTGATGACATTGTGGAGGTATTTGGGACTGATTGTAGATTGAAGCATTTTTGTCCCTGTGGCCTTAATTGGATGTATATAATAATTGTAATCTTGAAGAATATAAACCAAAATCTTTGAGCACATATGGACAAAATTTATTTCTGTACGTTGTTTTTGTTTCAGGTGTTAGACTGTATTTTACAACAAATCCGTTTGGTGGAAGTAAATCACGACCTACTATGCTAACGTTAGTACATGTCCGTCTGCCACCAGGTTTTACAGCTAATGCTGTTACACAATGTCCTTCTAAAGTAAACAAATGCTGTTATTCCAAAGGTATAGTAATATTAATTTAGATATAAAAAGATACACCTTCCTATCTTCTGGATGGGTTTTGCAATGTAAAATCAATGTACCTCCAAAACTGTGTAGCTAAAGTATGACAGTATTTATTCTGACTTTTAAAAAAGGCAAAGTGCTGACCCTTAAAATAACCTCTACTGATTTTATTTCCTTTACCTTTTAATCACAGATGAATTTATAAAGTCAGCCGAAAATATTAAATACAGTAATTAACAACATTGTTTATAAACTTATTTTGTTTATATTTTAGGCGTATTAATGATGGTGTCATCTCAGAATGAATTAAATGATTTATTGTGGTGTGTTAGTAATGACTCTTTTCCTATACAAACACAGTTAATGGAAGCTCATGTAAGTTCCTCATCTTTTTCAGTAAAAAGTTATTATGCATTCAATGATACTTAATGGTTACATATGGAAATAAGCCTTTCTTAGCCTCAAACTACATCTCAATATTGAATTTGTTTAATTGTAGTAAGGAAATTAATGTTATTTTATTTTTAGACAACATTAAATATAGATGGTCCGACATGGGCTATGGCTGAAGTACCATGGAGTAGTATAATTAATAATGATAGTGGACGAACTGGTAGAATAGAAAAGGCTGATCCTCCAATAGTAGTACAACAACATATAGAACCATGTCGTAGATTTATAATACTCTCTTCGCAGGTTAGTTAGAATTTAAACAGCAGGTTAATAAATTAATACTTACACTGTAAAACAAGAAACAAATGCAACAGGCATTAAATGTGTAATGTTAGACCTATGGCCGGTAAAATTAAATTCCATACCTATTCTGTAACAAAGTATTGAGGGTTTACCATATAGATCAATTGTAGGATTACTCAAACTTAATTACAGGTGCTGATATAGATCTTGTTTCACAATGCATAGGTAAATCAAACACCTCTGAATGCAAACATGTTTCAAGAAGGGGTCACTAATGATTTATCTCAGTTTTGATGGTACATATTTTCATTTCGAACGATTGAGCAGAAGTTGCTCTGTTTCTTTATTTTATTTTAATTTTTCGCCTTTGAATGTTAAACACACTATCCATCAATTATCAACATAGGTCTTTGCAACAGACAGGTGTTACTGTGAACAAAGACAGGTTTTTCATCTCAGACTTCTCAGTGACTAATTTATTACCAACACAAACAAAATGTTAGGAAAGGAAGAGAGTGGAATAGTTATGTATAGAAAGCCTGAAAGTACATATTGATCATAGTTGTCTAAGAAAAGAAATGGGATGTGTTATAGTTGTATTTTGATGTGTTTCAGGGGAGTCATATCTTCCAAAAGTTACGGCCAGTTGAACAGTTGCAACAATTACTGATTGACAGTCAAGGACCTGATTCAGAGGAAGTCAAGGGATTTTTCAGACTACATAGGGTACGACATACTTCTATCATTGCATTTCAAATAGTAACTGACATGCTGATCATATTTAATTATATTTTATTAGATTTACAAATGGCTTGATATAATTCTGATATAATTGAGCACATTAAGATTATAGTATATATATATATATTTTTCAGGTGGAACAAGCATGTGCAACGTGTTTAATTTTAGCATGTAGTAGTCGTAGATCAGCTGCTGATCCCAAGGTAAAGTCTTTATATCAACTTGTAACATATTTTATTCCATTAATTCGATAAGCAAAATAGAACAAACAACAGGACAGAATTTCAAACAAGCAAAAGAAATGGAAATTCAAGGGCCAATTAAATCATATTTAGTTTATAATTTTTAGTATGTAAAAATAGAAACATATTTGTTATACCAAACAGTTGTCCTTCTTTTTCATTATTATAAAAAAAAAATTATTTGGGGTAAAAAATACTTACAATCTTGCAAACAAGTATTACCATGATAAAATATTGACCTGCTTACAAGTGGCATGAAAGCCATTTGGCAATAGCGTGTGTCGAAATTTATTTGATCATATTTAATGATGATAAACAAAGGAAAGATAGTCGATCACTTGCAGAGTTTAATAATAATATACATTTTGAAAGCATTGCAAAAAAAAAAATAAGCTTTCCATTGGTCACAGGAATTTGAATTTGCATGAAAAAAGAAACTTAACCAATAAACGAAAATATATCTTAATTTTGCATGAAAGAAAAAACTTTATTGGTCAGTAGCAATAAGCGAAAATATATCTTAGACGCAATTTTGTTTGTGTTTAGTAGTGTGTAACGTACCGTGTACAAAATCAACATATTATTTTTGTGTCCGTCATGAGATAATGAGGTAGGGACAAATCTGTTGAACCCATCAGCTCCTTCTACTCTTTAAAGGAGAATTACTATTGTCAAATCCCTTGTTACTCCAGGTTTGGAACAACCGATTTGGGTTATAAAATTAAGTGATCGAATGGTTAAATATGTGCACGTTAGATCACAAAGTCTATCATTGAGTCAAGCTGTGTGGTTTTGATTCCTGTCAAACTTCATGGGTTTACTCCGGGTCATTCAGTTTCCTCCCATTGCTAAAGATCCCTTCAGCAAGCGATTTATTGACATGAAATTGAACCATATTTTATCCCGAAATGACCTAGTTTATGTTGAGTGGATGTTTAACCCCATTTCTGTCTCTCTATAAAATTTCTGAATAGTTGGATCAACAACTAATGTGATATATTTTTTTTAAAGGTATCTGATTGGGCTAGAATGGCTTTCTTTACATATGGTGGAGAACCACAATATCATTATAGTGCATCAATGGCTGCTCATGGTATGCAGCCATCAAATATTGGAGCTGTATACTCTAGTAAGTAGTACTCATACTAGTTTTATAATATCAGATTGGGTTACCATATCCAATTAATGTTCATCACAAAATTTCAGTAAAACAGACCTATCCACCAGCCAGATTGTATGCCAGAATTTTACTCTCTGTGTACCTGACTCATTTATCATTTGTATGGTTATATGTGACAGGGAGGGGAGTTTGTATGGACAGAGGTATTTGTACCTACTCTTCTATCAACTCCAACTGCCAAGCATTCTTTTATGTGCATGCCAATGGGTACACTTGACTTATCGACTTTACATACACCACCTCTAAATTATATATCAAATATTACGTCACATATATTTTGTAGAAAAATTGAAAGGGCTTTAAAAATGTATTGCTTTGAATTATATTTATTTCAAATTTCAAACCTAGGTCACAAAAATCAATGAGAATTTAGCAACCTTAATTATTCCCAGTTTAAATTCAATGTAAATTTTCTTTCAAACGTTAGATAACAAGCTGGTCAATTTATCTTTTGAATGTCACTGAAAACTCAAGGTCACTATTTACAAAAATAGTCACCAGGTACTGATAAATATGTATCAAAGTCAATATCGAACAATCTGTTTGATTTTGTGTCCTTCAAAAGTAGCAAGCGCTTAACTTAATTGCACTTAAATTACTTTAAAAAAGCAAGTAGGTTTTCTTCTTCGTCACCAGCGTAATATGCATTTATTTTTCTAATACCAGCTTCAACATTTTTCATAAATAACATTTTTCTCTGATACTCTTAATTCCTTTTGGCTACCTTTTCTCATTTTGGACATTTACTTTCATGAAGAACTCAACAGTCAGTCGTCACTGAAGTCACATGTTTTCTGTATGGATTATAGACTAATGGGTATTTTCAAATGAATAATTCTGTGCATTTTTAAATTGTATATATTTTGCTTTTTTGCATGAGTTGTGGTGTGCTATTTAATATTTAAACAGGTGTACCCGCTACTCCCAGTACCACAGTAGTATATAGTCCTAGTTCTCCATATAATACATCTATGTCACAGAATATACAGACACCTCATCCAGGTCGGTTTTACTCTTAAAACCACTGATCATCATTGCCATTTTCGGACAATATCAAATTTTCACAGCATAATCTACATTAAAATGTACCCAGATTTATTATTCAACATTTAATAATTTTAAAAAAAAACCAACCCAAGATATAACAGTTTAAAATGAGATTAAAAGGTTCCCCATTAAGATATTTTACCCAACATTTGCTAGTTTATATTGTCTGCAGTGAGGATGCTAAGTGTTGGGAAATTTATAAATTCTGAACAGAATTAATATTCCTTTTAGAAATTAAAATTGCTTAGTATATTAATTTTCAAGTGATCCAAAATCCTGAAAATGACGATCAGTGACTATAAAGTTTATATTCTCTCTTTATTAATGTCAACATTTGAGTTTTGCTGAATGATATTATCCTTATTAATCAAGAAGTAAAATCCCAAAGTGCTAATATGCCCCTTTAATCTGTTGCATTTCTCATCTTTCTACCATTGCTTATAGATCAGGGTAGTAGGTATCATGCATACCATATTTAATTATTTTACTTGTGGAGGTGTTTTGTGTATAAGATATTTTGAAAATATTTTCATGCTACGTGTTTTCTATTGTTTGTGTAGGAATGCAGCCAGCTCATATGTCAACACCAGCCCAAGGTTATAATCAATCATATTACCAACCTTCTATGATGCAACCAATGGGTGGTCCCATGCAGGATGTAATGTTTTCTGGTAAACACAATGGTATTTGTATCTATTTAGGAAGAATATTGAGGTTAGTATTTCTGTTACTGGAAATGGCTGATAATAAATTGTACAAATAATTAATTAGTAGCCCCGATCTCTCTCCAGCTCATATTTTTTCCACTTTGAATGCATTGAATATTGAACGGAACAAAATGGATTCAGTTGTGTATATTGTACCTGACTGTTTGAGTTCATGCAGTGACATGTTTTATAGCAGGGTTTCTAGTGTTTTATAGCAAGTTTACTAGTGTTTTATGGCACAGTTACTACTAGTGTTTCATAGAAAGGTTCATAGTGTTTTATAGCAAGGTAACTACTAGTGTTTTATAGCACGGTAACTACTAGTGTTTCATAGAATGGTTACAAGTGTTTTATAGTACGGTAACTACTAGTGTTTTATAGCAAGGTTACTAGTGTTTTATAGCAAGGTTTCTAGTGTTTTATAGTAAGTTTACTAGTGTTTTATGACAAGGTTACTAGTGTTATCATATATACCTGAATATCTTTATTTCACCCAATTATATTTGTTTTATAAACAGGCCATTTTGGGACAGACCAGCCACAACAGAGTTTCCTTGTCAAACAGATCAAGGTTTATTATATTATGTAAGTATTTCTTTTCACTAATATATAACCTTCCTTTAGACAGGAAATTATGTTAATGCCTTTTTGCTTAAATGCAATAAAAACCATACCAGACTTAGGGTAACAGCAGCAGTTTTCTGTACAGTTGTAAAATCCTACAACAAAATATTAAAAGAATGTGGCTTTTTTCTTTTACAAATAAATATTTTTAATTTGACTTGTGTGAGTTAAGGTTAAAGAATAAAAACAAAAATGTTTTGAAAAAAAGATGATTCTTATGACATTTATCACAGTTGGAAAAGAGTGTCTCTCATGAATGGTAGTTGAGATTTTTTTTTTAAAAATCAGTGTAAAATTCTTGATGAGAGTTAAAAGAAAGTTTTTTTTTTTAAATTTATGTTTGTTATATATTTTGACTTGGATGTACATTTTTGCTTCCCTGATTTGTTGTATATAATGTGTACCATTTTTTATTATAGTTCAGCAGTAGTTTTACCAGTGAAGAAATTATCATTACATTAGAACTTGTACGAGATTTATCTGATTTTGTTGATTTTAATGCTCAAGTAGATTTTGGTGGGTCAGGAGAAAGGTAGATATATCAGTACTCATGTTAATGTGTTTCAGAATTGTAGTAGTGGTATTCAATCTTTTCCTACTAGAATAAATTTCATTGATTTAACTGATTTTCCAATTACAGAGCAGTGGTGCATTATCAATAGTTTCACAAATTTGGCTTGGTTTAGGTGCAGTCGGCTCAGGAGTGATGAGACACAAGTTCTGGCATATAATACCTGTTGTTAATTATACCCTCACATTTTTAAAAAAAAAAAATATGTCTACTCAAATATAAGTGGCCTCATTAAAATTATGCTAATGGTCGCCTGTCCAACTTTATGAGTTTTCTCCAGGCCCTCCTGTTTCATCCCACTGCTGAAGACCCCTACACGAAAGTAAAATAGTGAAATTGAATTGAATCATGTTAAACCCATGACGTAGTTTGTGTCAAACCCATTGATGCTCTTCCATACATGTCCTACGCTATTTTCCAAATGTCCGACCAGGAATATGCCCCATCGTACATTGAAATATGGTGAATAATATTCAAAATTCCAAAATTGACTGAACAGAGTGCATAACTATTACTCATCTTGATAATCATTGACAATAGGCAGGATTGATTGGGTAATTACGTGATTAACCCATTTATGGTGTTAAACACCTACCTTAATTGACTAACTACTTAAACTGTCTGGATTGACTTTCTTAATCGATGTGATTTCCTTTATGTCCCTCATAATCATATATTGTTTTATAATGTCTGACATTTTAATCCCCTTGATGTCGATAGACGAGATTAAAAGTAATCAAAGATTAGTCAGTAAACTTGTAAGCTAACCTTTAACAGTCAATCAGTTCATGATCTTGGTAATTAGTACGAATGATAATTTTGATAATACCGTAAGCTCTATAATTATTCACAACATAATTTTTATCCGTAACCATATCCCTTAGTAGGAATCGACCATGTGTTCCCAAGTGGCAGTTAATATTTCAATCCTTTCGATTCACTGGAAAACAAAATATTCTGTAGGCTCTTATACAAAAGATTTATTCATCAGTTTAATTTTTCTCCATTTAACCACCCACAACAACTGGTCAGATCTTCATGTTGTAGAGGCCATCGAAAGTATAAAAAAAATGAAAGAACTATAGATCTGTATTTTAATCAGATTGTGTAAATATGTCTGACAAGAAAAATTTTGAAATAGCATCACTGGTCAAACCCCATTTCTCTCTCTTGCTCTCTCTTTTTCTTCTGTTATTATGTAATTGGGCAATATTTGGTGAAATAAACTGTAATTATAATTACCCACATGGAGGCACCAAAAGTGTCTTTGTCCCATGCTGCCAAGAACCCCTGTTATGCTATTGGTCAAATTTTGTTCAATATTACAGTTTATTATTTCTAGATTTGTCTCTATACCCTTAGTTATGTCAAATACTAAAAAGTCTTTATGAATTAATTTCAGCGTGGCAAGTGGTTTTTCATCAAGGATGATGGGTGGAAGATATTCTGATGCCATGATGGATGATCAAACCCGGAAAAAATTAGCAAGTTAGTCAGATTAGATATTGATTATCCATAGATTATTATCATCATCTTATTCATACATTAAGCCGTTTTTATCGACCATTCATAAAGCCAGTAATTTAGTGGTCTGTTACAATGTTTTTTGAGTTTGTGGATTGTCTCCCTTGAATATTTTTTCAGATTGATACAATTTAAAATTTTAATCTTTATAGATGAAGCCCAGAAATTAGAGAAGATATCATTACAACATGTTAGAGAATTGATACATCAAGTAGAAGAAGTATTAGGTCTTTGGAAAGTTCTAGTAGATCATCAGTTCCATGTTTTAGCTGCTTGTTTAACTAAGGTAGGTATTGAAATTAATTATTGTCTTCATTGCACTGTAACCGTGTGATAATGACTAATGACAAAAGTGGCGTGGGTTGCCATCACAGATTTTGTTTCCACTTGCCAGAAAGTGGTGTGTTTGTGATATTGAACAAAATTCCTAGGTCTGATTGAAAAATTTTGTGCATACTTCCGTAGCAGTTGGCATTCGAAGAAAAACATTCTGTCTAATGTTGCTTACATGAAAATTACACATATCTAAAGAAAATGATATAACCATTCATACAAGAATATTATGTAATATTTAGAATCATAATCTAAATATTTTATCAGTCATGCATACTTTCATACTCAACACTTGATAACATAATATCTTTTTAATACAAACTTCAATCCTTCATTAATATATATATTTTGTTTAGGACCAACAGAATCAGTTACGTTCCATGACATTCAAAAGTCTAGTCATAAATGGCCGAGAGGTAAGTTCTTGAACATACAATTTTATTTTCTAAATTATATTAAAATGTTCCTGTTTTATTTCCAAGTGTCAATTTTTCCCAATACGGACGTTGGATGGTCCTTGAATAGTCTATATGTTCTGTTGACGTGATAAATAAAATCTGGTTTTTTTTTTAACAGCTATGTGGATCGCTAATTACGTGTCTTATATCACGCTATTTGGATGATAATGCTACTATAGATGCCATCAGTTCTAGATTACGAGATGTCTGTCCTAATTTATACAGTACAGATGATGCTACTTGTTCTAAGGTTAGTATATATATAAAGAAGAACTACAACATTGCCAGAATTAATAGAATTTGATCTGTAAAGTATTTACTATTATTAATCAAATATAATCAACAACTATTCAAATATAAATATAAACAAGCAAATAAAGAAAAGCATTTAAATTTGTAATATTTTTAAAGTTGTTTATTTATTCTTTCTGTTATAAATCATCAACTCTATTCTTTATTTTGTGTTGTTTTATTTTGTAGGCTAATGAATTGTTACAAGCTACTAAAACTAATCAAAATCAGTTAGAAAAACGTAGACAGCTACAGGAAGCTCTTAGGGTAAGTACTTGTAATATGTCAATGTTTTGTTGTCCAAATTAGTAGCTGTTTTTCCATAAGTATATGTTATAATTTATTGCTTTATCCAGTTACTAAAAGATTGTTGAAAATATGTAGTTTGTTAGTAAACATCCCTGAAATTTATTGGATTAAACAGGAAACAAAATGCATGTAATTCTGTAAAATTCAACACTATTTTGTCCCCCTACTTACGAAGTTTGCACGGTTTGTTAAATTGGGATTGTCCGTCTTTGTGACTGCATGCGGTCCTTTGGAGCAGGATAACTCTTGATTCTAATTGAGTAAAAGTGATGAAAGCTTTTATATAGTTTCATGACATTATTACATTAAATAAGTTTGGTAATAGGGATTTTCTAAACATACAATATGCCAGAGCTAAATCTGCTTATTGCCAGTCTTTCTTTAGGCTTGAAATGTTTTATCTAAATTATTAATTAGACATTAATTAAGTTATCCAGACCATAATCAACTCTTGATGCCATCACTAGCCTGCGATATTTACTGTATTTTAATACATTTTCTGATGGATGATTTAACGTCAAAATGGTTAATCAAGACTTTGTTTTTTATCGTACCGACTTTAGAAATGTTGATCGAGGCTAGGCCTAAAATTCAATCGCTAATATCTTGGTTCAGAGTGGAGCAATTTGACTGAAAGTTTCAGCATATTCTCTTTACGTTATCTATCTTTTAACTATTATAGCGAGAACTGTCAGCTCTTTATCTAATTGTCCCCCGCCTTTCGAAGAAAGCAGGGGACTATTAAAATGGGTTCGTCCGTCTTGACGTTCGTTTGTCCAATGATTAACATTTCCTGCTAAAGCTAAGCAATTTCTTTGACTTTGATTCTACCTGATAGAGAGTGATGAAACAGTGTATAGTTGATAATCAGTTTGATTGCTCAATACTTTTGAAAAAGATAAACGTGCAATTAATTAATATGTGTCATCTATTTATTTTGGGATTTCGGTGGGGGACATCAACCTCACTGTTGGCTTGTCTCCCATAATGCCCCTTTTAAGTAATTTGATTGTGCATTTCTTTATAAAAAGATAAATGTATAAATTATTGTCTATTTATTTTGGGATTATGAAGGACACCAGCCTCACTGTTGGCTTGTTATATTAAGGCATAATTTCTTGCATTCAATTTCACTATTCAGATACAATTTGTACATTAATATATAAAAAGTCCAGTTAATTCACTATACAGATATGAGTTGTACATTAATAGGTCATTTGATCTATGTATATAGTTTATTTATGTTTTCAGTTATTTAAAGATGTTAATCAGCCATTACAACTACCAGCAGTATGTAATCAGTTAGCTAGTGTTAATTTCTATGAAGGAATAGTTGATCTATGTTTAACAGAATCTAATAAATTAGATCCACAGAATTTAGCTCTACATTTCTATAGATGTTGTGAACCACCAGAAGATCAACAAGGAATGCAAGCTTTTATAAATCGGTTAGTATTGATAATACATTTAGAAACAGTTACTAAATGCTTACAATTTATTCTGATGTTCACATGTTTGCCAAATTTTGTACTCTTTCTTTTTTTTTGTAGAATAATTTTTTTTTTTTATTTTTTTTTTTTTTTTTTATATCAAAGATGGAATTTGTACAAGAAATTTATAGATATCTAAGAATTTTATTTGAACATTAATCCTTAAGAATTCTTTCACAAACCCAGAAAAATTTCATATACATGTCCAACCAGAATTGCTGCCAATATTAAGTAAATGAACTGAATAAAAATTTTAATCCTATACAAACTAAATTTTAATCTTTGAAGATTAGGGCTTTAGGGCATTAGACTGTCAGATTAACAGTATTCAACCAGGTCATCCTTTTGATATTATTTGAGAAAATTACATGTACTATTTACAGAATGGAATGTTATAAATGTATAACGGATACATTAGGTTATTTATGGTCAGCCAGCACATCACATCCCCAGGCACCCAGTATACCTAAATCACCAGGTCCACCACAAGCTCCTGATCCTACTAGAATATCATCTGTACAAGCTGAACAATTTGTAAGTTGATAATATACTTTATGCAGTCAGGTAACAAGACCTGCAATTGCACTTGTTAATGGGAAGGGGGGAGTAGAATTCAGAAGTTAGTGCTAGAGAATAAGGCATTAATTCTCAGATCTATTATAGAATAAAAGTGATTAGAAAATTGACAATACAGACATTTTCAGATATCAACAACAAGTCTGGTAGACAACCGTGAGTCGTGAAAGAGGCATTATGTAAGAGCCAAATCTATCTAATGCAAATCTTTCTTTTGGCCCTAAATGTTATATAAACTATTATTTACACATCTATTTACATGACAAGCCTATAGTCAATTCTCTAGTCTATCGGATAGATTTGATCTTCACTGGATTGCATGTTAGAAATTTAATTAAAAAATGGATAATCAAGACTTTGTTTATTATCGTAGCAATGATAATCGAGACTACACTGTTCTTCAAATGAAGAATGAAGTAATTTGACTGAAATTTTCAACACATTTACCTTTCATTATCTATTTTTGAACTATTATAGCAAAGACAGCCAGCTCTTTATCTAAATCTTACATAATGCATATTATGAAACAATATAGTGTATAGCTGAACCCCACAAACACACTTTGCCTATCATGGAGGGATGTAATTTTAGATTTGGAATTGACTGAGGTTTCACATTCATAGCTTGCAAGGTACCATATTTTTAGCACAAAAAAATTAAAAAATCTAAATAGTTTGAATAACTTTGAAGAAAAGAGGATCAAATATTATATTTAAATTCAACTGTATGTGTATTTTATTTTATCAGAGAAATGAAGTATTTCAACTGTCTCTAAAGTCTGATGATGAGTTATTCCATGTAGCATTATATGATTGGTTGTTTCTAGATAATCATTTAGATAAACTATTAGAGGTAAACTATCTTTTTTCTTAACAGATATATTTTTGCTCACTAAATAAATATATTAATATGACTGAAGAGACAATGTGGCTGAATATAATTGAAATGGGATAATCTTGATGAGAATAGAACCTGTTACAAAATCACTAGGAATCATATTTGATATTGAAACTACAGACAGGATAAAACCACATTTAGGTGTCTCCATAGCCAGATATGTATATAAACACAAAATTACATCTCTATGACATTATAAAAGAAATTTTGTACTTTAGATCCAGACACCATTTATGGAACCTTATTTGAAACGTAAATCAGGAACCCATGGTGATAATGTAGCAGCATTAGATATGTTATGGAAATATTATGAGAAAATTCACAACTTTCCTGCTGCAGCAAGAATATTGTCTAGATTAGCTGATAGACCAGGGTATGTCCAGTTTCTCATTTTCTTGCTAAAAATTTGACATAAAAATAAAGTTGTTTAATTGATATGAAATGTTTGACTTAGTTACACTCCAGACGGTGGGATAATTTTGTTAAACCGGTAGTCTGTATTTAAAAGAACACTAGATTAATCTACAAACAATCTGCCTTTAAATTAGGCTATCTGTAAGAACACAAATACTAGCTTCTGTGGATCAGGAACAGAACATGATGTCATGGCCGCCATCTTGGAATTGTGACATCAAAAATCGTATTCCAAGTTTCATCTCGATCTTACTTGAATTGGCTGAGATTTGGCTTTTTTCGAAGAGCGTTGCCCCCAAGAAGAAGGAGAACAAGAAGAAGATGCATAGTCAGGGGCCCCCAGTGCCTGGTTTAAAAATGTTTATAAAGTTGAAATTTGTCAATGGAATAGGAGGCTTACCATAGTGTTTATTCATTACACAAAATATTAAGTGACATATATAACCTGAATTTAATTATTTCTGAGTATTCCCCTACAATAGATTTTACTAATTACTAATATTCTAAAATGTATATTTTTAGTGGTGATGTATCTCTACAGCAGCGTATAGAGTATTTATCTAGAGCTATTATGTGTGCTAAGAGTGCCACATCAAGAATTAGTTCAGCAGCAGAAGGAGAGTTTCTACATGAATTAGAAGAAAAAATGGAGGTAGGGTTTCTAGAAAATCCATCCAATAAGATGAATTATGATAAAAATCTACAGTAGAGCAAGATTTATTAATTCATTTATTTATTCATTTATTTACACTGGGTCACATATTAAGGCATGTTTGATTGTCATGAACCGGAATCTAGATTCCTTCCAGATTCAGACTCCCCTCTCAAAGTTTCCTTATGATATTCTGATTAATGAACTTGTTTGAATTCTTTGGAGTTGAAATGAGGGTTATTGAATTCCAACAATTTCTGTTATTTACTTATAGAAATAATGCCATTGATTATGTTGTAGTTTCTAACTTTCTTGCCACTACACCTTTGATATTTTACAGTATAAAGATTTTGCTGTTTATATAACTAAATATTCATAATGCAACAACTTTTAACCACTGCTCAGACGACTTTGTGTTTGTAGGCATGGTTGTTGCCTTGTAATTTATCTTTATACATGGAATTAAATTCCTATATGATGGTATCTAATTACAGGTTGCCAGATTACAGCTTCAAGTACATAGAGCTCTGTGTAAAATACCACATAGATCACCTATGATGAAAGAAGCATTAAATCGTTTAGATTCTTGTCTTATTGATATCACTAAAGTAAGTTTATTATAATTAGATGTCATTTAGTAATCATCTTCACATACAGTTTATACATTGAACCACTTTATCCTGCACAACATGTGAAGCTTACTGTTCACACTCATCACTCTGGGCATCTGGGTAGGCTCTTTAACTGAACTTTTTCCAGTGAGGTCTGTTAAGGGTATTGAGTAGTCTAAGATAGCACTAATTTTTCAACACCAATCTTATTAAAACTTTGCATACTTGTTCCATGTATAATATAACCTAAAGGACACATAACAGTCCAACAGTTTGTTGTGTAATAATGGAGATACAAGCGGAAAGAAAAAAAATGTATTTAGAGCAGACGAGAAGGTTTCCCCGACCTAGATCAGTTCTTGAATAAATTATGACATCGTACACATTGGTCACGTCATCCGCAGTAAATCATGGCTGTCTCCAGCAACAATTTCACACTGGATCATTGACAAATTCTCTTGTTTTGGCATTTTGATGGATATCGGACAAACTACGGTTTATAGCCAAAAAATGTCCCTAACGGGCCTAACATTTCTTAGATTTGCTTTAAGCATTGTTCATGCCAAATTTGATGAAAATCCAGGCAGGCATAACTGAGAAAATTTGACTTTAGTTGCCATCAGCACCCTTTATTATCATGCTTTTGGGCCAAGTTTGGAACATGGTTGGTAAATAAAATTGGTATTTTTTGGGGTGATTAATATGTACTTTATCACCCCAAATAACAAGAAACATTATATTTTATGAACATAACTTACCATGTGCATTTTAAAGTACTCAACACCCTTAAGACAATAAAAATCTCCAAAGTTAATTATTATATTTACCTGATAGTACATGAGCTTACACAGTTATCTATTGGGATAAATATTTTATTTTTGGTAAATATGCCTATTTATGTTATAAGTGTTGGTTTTGAAAGTGTCAGGAATGAGTGGCAGGGTAACTGCAGATGTCAAAATACCTATGATGTCACTATAGTAGTCGATAAACATTCAATTTCTGTGTTGTAAATGTCATTGAGTTGACTTAAAACAGATTACACATAATGTAAATATTTTCTGATAAACATTTCAATCAAATTATTTACTCCAATGTATGACCAAGTCAACTTATGCAGTCATGGTGCCAATAATTTGCTGTACTATGTAATAATAGACCACATAATAAATCTCACTTTCACTTCAAAATTTTGCCAGACGGTCAATATTTGATGCATTTCGTTTGCCTTGGATTAGCAAGATGTTTTTTTACAAAAATATTTTTATGCATAAAAGCTATAAATTAATTGTATTGAGTTCTAAGATTGTATTGTTTGAAATTATAATGTCGTGGCATGTAAAATGACAAGTATCTTTATCATGATGATTTACTTATGTTGTATTACAGTTATATGAAGATTTTGCTGATAGATTTGATTTATCAGAATGTAAATTAGCTATTGTTCATTGTGCTGGTTTATATGATGCAGCTCTAATTGAAAATCTCTGGCAGAATATCATTGATAAAGGTAAACAATTAGATTTTATAAAACTCCCTGATTTGCTGGTACAAGTTCCACTTTCTACAACTTATATTTTTATATTAGACATTTAAAATATTAGTTGTATTCAGTCTGGAATGTCCTCTGGTAACAGAATTTATGTCACATAACAAATGTGGTGCAATTAAAATTAATACGTAATTTAATTATGCTTTGTAACCCTATATTTACTTCGCAGGGTTGAGAACCCAGAAGATATGTAAGTTAGAAACTAGGATTAAATTTCTTTCTAATTCCTGTTCAGAGTATATCAATTAATCCATAAAGATCATTGAACTTATTTATTTTAGAATTTGATGCTTGTTCATCAGCAGATAACCAGTCTCGTGTAACTAATATTAGTAACAGACTTGTTGCTATAGCTCAGTTATACTCCGATACAGAAAGATACTTTCCTCTAGGTAATTATAAATTTATCTTTCATATATATTATTATGTTATTAATAATTTTTAAAATGCTTAATGGTGGGGTGGGTGAAATTCTGTACATTACAAAGAAAAAACACCACTTACTGATGAGGACTTTGTAAAATATATTTGACTTTAGAGTATATTTAATAACTTCTAGAATAAGTTCATATCCAAATTTCCCCCCACTCTATTTACATTCAAAATGTTACACATTAAAGTGTTGGTATTTGTCATCTTGGAGTCTTGGATTGTTCGTATTTGGTTTTATTTTTTTATTTCAAAATTACATACATGTATTAGATACAGTTTTCAAAATATGATATAACGAAATAGAACTAAATAACATTGGGTATTATTATAAAGTATGAGAGATGTTTTGTGTTCACAGCTTTTATATTGAAATATCTGGAACAAAAGAGTTGTGAATTAAACTTTGACCCTCACTGGGTTTACAGAGCCATGTTACAGATCCATGTTTCACCAGAAAAACTACTAGAACTTTATGATAGAATGTTCAAATCAAAGGTAATGTAGTCAAAATAAAATATTGGTTTCTGTCCCATTGAAAATTTGTATCTAAATGTTGATTGATGGTTGTTATTTGGGGTTTACACTTTTGGCATTTTGTTGCCAGTAGAAATTTGAAAAGAATAGGTGGACGCGCCACACTGTCCAGGCAAAATTTTTCTCATAGCACAGTGCATGTTTACAGTTCTGTTATTCAATACACTGTTAATCAATACCCAAATTATGAGATACAAATTTTATGTCTGAAGTCTGTCTTATATTCACGAAAACTTGGATTATTCTGGCGATGAAAAGTGTCTGATTTGACTACCAATCAACAAGAAAAGTTCTACCCACAGCTCAACTGCAGATATTCTAAAGATATTTCCAGTATGTTCCAGGTTTTCCACTCAAACTCCTAGTCCCATAGAAATCAGACCAGACAATCTAAAAAATAAAAAAAGTAGCTAAATCTCTACTCAATATCATCCAAAGTCTTTGACATTGCAAACACAATTATTTGTCGATTTAAATCAACATTGATGTTGTGATCTTACGGGGAAAAGATGGGCTTTTGATATCCAATATTTAAGAAAAAATAAACATTTTACCATTGGTACACGAATCGTGTACCATAATGCGTTTCATCGCCATTTGTAACAAGGAACTCGAAGAACAAGGCTAGACATATTCCACAAGTTAGTCAAATGGTGACTCTATATTCTTATCTGGAGAGCATGTGCAATAAATACTGTCGTTGAAGGCTGGAATAACCAGACACTAGAGAATGCCATTCGATTGAGACCATTTTGTGTCCATTTCTAGGTCCCAAATATTAGCTATTTAGCTCCTTTAAAACCCATTTATTTCCCCGCTAATATGAAAAAAGGAGATAAGAATGTATGTAAATGATGATGTTTTTTAATCAAACAATATGTCTATATTTACAGGATCCATATTGGCAGACAATACATCGTCCTCTACATTTATTGGTAGTACTTCATGGTTTTATGACCCATTTCTCTAATAATCCAACATCTTTACCTACTATGGAAAGGTAATATATTTATACTAACATTAAATAATACTAGATTTTTATTAGAATGTGAAATAGCTTTATTTTACGTCCGCTTCCCCCAAGGTGAATATCGTACACAAAAAACTAACTGTGCATATTTTATCAGGATGAGAAGTTTTAACAGGTGAATTAAGGAAATGAAGTTGTATCGTTATTTATTTGTACATACGGTGTATATCAATATGGGTTATTTAACACTCTTACTTTTGTAAAGTTATTCTAAAAAATGATTAGAATAAAATAATTTAATGAGTTAATTGGAGTAAATAAACTCCTCAATATTAAGATTTATTTTACAAATTGTTTTTCTTGTTCTTCAGACGAAGGTTTTCTACAAGTTGTTTAGATTGTGTATCAAGTTATCTTGTGGAACTTCAAGCTATTAGCAGTACTAATCCTAATGTTCGAAATCTTGTACAACAATTTAAAGCCTTACAAGCGAAACTAGAAAGACTTCAGTATTAAACAATCAACTATAAATAATAATGAATTCTACCAAGGAATAGTGCTAATATTGATTAAATGACATTACAAAATGATTTATGGTGTCATCCCTTTCTTTAAAATGCATATTAGACAAAAAACAATCATCTCCTTACCTATAAATATTAATGGTAAACTAAATATTTAGATTCTTTATCTTTACATGAACTATTGTGTACATCGATCCATAGGAATATTGAATTGATTATCTTTATAACATTTATAAATTATCTATAAAAATCAGAATTATATCTTTGTGATAGAAAATGTATTATAACATGTTGTTAAATGATGTTTGATGGCGGTTATATAATGTATTTCATCTTCCATCATGTATGTAATTTGAATATTCAATTTTTATATATCCACATTAGGCAATACAAAATAAATATTCTGGTTCACATATACTCCTGCTTCACTTAATTACTTCACTTAAATATTTTCGCTCGGTTACAGGCAGCGTGACAAATGTTACTGGCAATCATGAGTGACACTAGATAATCATACATTCCTATAAACCACACGAAAGCCTTGAAATGTGATTTTGCCCATAGTGATCCGTTGACAAAATAAAAATAAAAACCTCCCTCTCGCATCAGATATTTTTGCAAGATTTTCTGAGAACGAGAATATTTTATTTTGTATTGCATTAATGAGTGAAATTTGTATTGACGTTGAATTCATAGCTAGCATGGACGGTTTTGCTGCTGGTAATGGTGGGCATATTATATGTTTGTTATATATATAAAATTGTATAATGTGATATTATCAAATAATAAAAGCATTATATGTTAGAAGGATTTTTGTGGAGTACCTTCAGGTTTAGTTTTGTGTACAATATTACAAATTTTGTCAGATATGGCAATCTGTATGACTAAATGTAAAGCCATTCAAAGTTTCATAAACATGCCTTTCTTATAAATGGCTTAATTTTTTTCAATTATCTGTTCAGTTATTTAATTATATCCTTTATAAAGATATAATTTTGTGAAGTCAGTAAATCAAGAAATGAACATAATGAAAGTTATTTTTTAATATACCTAATGTGTCATATAATGAAATAAACAATGTAAATAAACCAAATATATCATCTCAAGATATCTTGTTGAATTCTTCATTCAGAATCATTGGTAAACATATTATTAGAATACTAATCTTAATACAGATTAAGGTGATTAGTTTTTACAAAATTTTATATTGGTAATTTTTGCTGTTTATACATCGATTTATTACTCCTGCCTACAAATTCTTGTAGCTAAACTACATGATTTCTTTGCACAATACATTTCTTGCTTTAAACATCTTGTGACTCTGCCAGTTCTTAACAGAATTTGACTGGGATGGTAGGGAACAAATCATGGGGTAATTGTTTCTTTGCAGAATTTGATGCTCGACAGTGTGCTTTATTCAAAACAATGTGAACATGTATTTATTTAGAAACAGTAAGGACATTAACTTCCAAGAAAAAAAATCCCACTTAATTTAATGGAGAATCCACATTTCGTTTCTTTACTTTAAAGGACTTGCTTTAATTTATTTAGTGAATTCAATTGTTTATATTTTCTTGGCTTTTTATGTGTTGATTGAAGCTTGTGTCTACAACTGCTTGTTGATTTGTTGACGTAACAAATTAGGTATGGAGTGCATGCGCACCGTCAATAGACACAGGGGTTAATCCTTTGACTCCACTTAAACTGTTAGTGCATTAAAAGTATTTTGAAATTGTTTGCCATTTACACTAAAATCATTTATTTTCTCTGTGTTACAAAATGAAGATCATTGTATTCGCTACATTGTATTTTAATTCAATGTAGCGAGTTAAAACTCGCAAAGTGATCATATACTCCAAAAATCATTCATTTTCTGTTTTACAAAATGAAGATTATGGTATACGCTGTCAACTCACAAAGTGATCATTTACTCAAAAAATCTCTCATTATACGTCCACATGTATAATGTTGTTGGCCCTGTCTGTCCATCCACAATTTGTTTGTGGACACTCTACAGGTCACAATTTTAATCCCTTTTTGATAAAAATTGAAATATAGGTTTATCTCCCAAAGATCCTGGTTCATTTCAAAACTGGCTAGTATCGAACAGTAACTTCATGGATTATGGCCCCTGATTGTATGAAAAATTATGTTTTTAGCTTGTGGACACTCTAGATGTCACAATATTTATCCGTTTTGATGAAACTTGAAATGTATGATTATACCCAAAGAACCTTTTTTTAGCTCGATCTCTGTCCATCTCTTGCAAATGTGGGCGTGTTTTGCGTGGCAACGGCTGGTCTTCCCTGTGTTACAAAATGAAGACAATGGTATACGCTATAAATTAGCAAAGTGATCATTTACTCCAAAATCCATTTATTTTCTCTGGGTTATCCAAATGAAGATCATGGTATATGCTATCAACTCACAAAGTAATCATTTACTCCAAAAATCATTCATTTTCTCTGTGCTACAAAATGAAGATATGGTATAGGCTATGAACTCACAAACAATATGATCAACAACTGGTCGTTGCACTTTATTGCCAAAATTTAGTTCTGATCTTGGGCAGTTTTGGCAAAAATCAATTTGGGAACCTGTTTGCCCTTTTCAAACATTTATTTGTAGTGACCAGCCAAATGGACTTCTAGACATCTGTGTTGACCAGTTAAAACACACAAAGACAGTGGACACTTTAGAGGGTATCTTATATTTATTCGCGCCTGACTGAACGACTGGCACAGTTCTATCATGTGGAAGTTTTTTTTTACAAAAAGGTAATTAGGCTCGCCAAAATATGTTGGCGAGATAGGAGTATAATGAAATACGACATGATTCGGACATTTATCTATAGCGTTTTTCTAAAAATATTCGATCTGTAGCATAGTTTATGAGTTAACAGGTACAAATGTGTTAATTATATTGTATGGCTGTATCTTTCAAGTCTTTGCTGTTATCTACGCAAAACACACATATAATCGGACGTCGTTGTAACGAACTATTCACACGTATCGGTAAAACAATGGAAATACCAGGTGTTTGCAATGGCCCTATTTGACACAATAGATGTAACTATTTATTAACCGCGTGCTTTAATGTTATAAAGCGTGCTTCGGGCAATCTCTAATGATTACTTTATGTCCCCTGATAATGTTTGTTACATGATTTCAAATTGTTTATCAAGTCATCTGGGGGATTGCCCTGCTCGTATAACCGTCGAGGAGTTATTCGATCCATATTTACTGTTCGATACACACGTTTTTATACGCCCACATTTTCATGTGGACGTATATTGTCGTCGCCCCTGTCCGTCCGTCCGTCCGTCCACAATTTGTTTGTGGACTCTCTACAGGTCACAATTCTTGTCCGATTTTGACAAAACTTGAAATATAGGTTTATCCCCAAAAGATCTCGGCTGCTTTCGATATTGGCATGTATCGGATCGAAACTTCATGGATTATGGCCCCTGTTTGTACGAAAAATCATGTTTTTAGCTTGTGGACCCTATAGAGGTCACAATTTTTATCCGATTTTGTTGAAACTTGACATGTAAGTTTATAATCCAAAGATCTCAGTTCCTTTCGATATTCGTGCATATCGGACCGTAACTTCCTGAATTATGGCCCCCTGATTGTACGAAAAATCGCGTTTTTAGCTTGTGGACCCTATAGAGGTCATAATTTTTATCTGATTTAAAAAACCGTATTATTATATCACCATTACACCCTAAGGAAGGTTGAGTTCGAATCTTGTGAAAATCAGACCAAAATTGCCGGACAAAATGGCCGCCATTTGTACGCGAATAGTGTAAAAATATGGTAAATCAAGGTTGTGGACCCTGTATGGGTCACAATTTTAATTCAATTTTGATGAAACTTGAAATGCATGTTTATAAACTAAAGATCTTGGTTCCTTTCGATATTGTCGCATATCGGATCGTAACTTCCTGAATTATGGCCCCTGATTATACGAAAAATCAGGTTTTTAGCTTGTGGACCTTATATAGGTCATAATTTTTATCCGATTAAAAAAACCGTATTATTATATCACCGTTACACCCTAAGGAAGGTTCAGTTCGAATTTGGGGAAAATCGGAACAAAATTGCCGGACAAAATGGCCGCCGTTTGTACACGAATAGTGTAAAAATAGGGTAAATCAAGGTTGTGGACCCTTTATGGGTCACAATTTTAATTCGAATTTGATGAAACTTGAAATGCATGTTTGTAACCTAAAGATCTTGGTTCCTTTCGATATTGTCGCATATTATTATCTGATTGTAACTTCCTGAATTATGGCCCCTGATTATACGAAAAATCGTGTTTTTAGCTTATGGACCCTATATAGGTCATAATTTTTATCCGATTTAAAAAACCGTTTTATTATATCACCGTTACACCCTAAGGAAGGTTCAGTTCGAATTTGGGGAAAATCGGACCAAAATTGCCGGACAAAATGGCCGCCGTTTGTACGCGAATAGTGTAAAAATAGGGTAAATTAAGGTTGTGGACCCTGTATGGGTCACAATTTTAATTCGATTTTGATGAAACCTGAAAAGCATGTTTATAACCTAAAGATCTTGGTTCGTTTCGATATTGTCGTATATCGGATCGTAACTTCATGAATTATGGCCCCTGATTATACGAAAAATCGCCTCAGATAAGGTCACACTTATCTGATTTTAAAAATCGTTTGAATATATCACTGTAACACCATAATAAAGGTTGAGTTCAAATTTCCTGAAAATCAAACCAAAACTGCTGGACAAAGTGGCCGCCGCTTGTACGCGAAAGGTGTAAAAAATATGGTATATCAAGGTTGTGGACCCTGTAGAGGTTACAATTTTAATCCGATTTTGATGAAACTTGAAATGCATGTTGATCTTGGTTCCTTTCGATATTTGCGCATATCGAATTGTAACTTCATGAATTATGGCCCTTGATTGTAGGAAAAATCATTTTCTTTTTAGCTTGTTCTCTATCCATCTCTCAAAAATGTGGGCGTATCCTGCCTGGCAGCCGCTGGTTCAAGATATACCATGCTTCAGAATTTACTGTTGGATAAACACGAATACGACATGATCTATCATACTCTCAGTGGGGTATAATAATACTTCATGAGTATAATAATGCATGCCTTCCAAAAGTGTGGTATAATATATTTCCTTATAACCAATATTTATGATGGTTTACGACTTGATAAAGGGTTTATGATGACGTCTGGCGATATGCATTATCTTTTCAATGGTTATGAACTATGGGGTTAATTCGCGATACTTACTTGCACTCTATAAAATATCTATGAAATATTTTATTTAAGATATAAATTTCAATCCCTGTTCAGTTGGCGGTTTTTTTGGGTTTTTTTTTTGGGGGGGGGGGGGGTGGAGGGGGGGATTTCTGTCGTCCACTCGCATTTACTTTACAGTGTACATGTAGGATATTGCAGATTTAATTAAGCTCTACAATTGGTAGTTAGAGTCTTTAAAATTCAAAACATAGGCTGACTCAACTGCGATTATGATTACTGTTAAAACCACGAAATGAAAAGCTTGCAAAACCGCTTGCTTGTCTTGTTTTATCAAAATTTCCGCTGTTTTATACTATTCTTTTAAATACTGCGAATGGTCGACTTTTTCAGGGCCCTTTATAATATATTCTTTGTTTATTTTTAGAAATAATTTTCAGAGTTGATTAAATCAAAGTGTGAATAGTAAATAAAGTTTATTTTACCGCGTGTGATTGTTAGTGTGTGCTTAGATTAGGTGGGAGGGCTATATATTGACTAGCGAGCCGGTTTTGTTTACGATCTTCCTAAACAGAATGTCTTTTACAAATCTCCTTCTCGATGGCTCTCAAATATCCACACATTGGAATGAAAATCTGACATTGTGTCAACTACTTGTCGACAGGATTTACATTGCCAACTTTTTACTTCTTGGTCAGCGAAGTGGCCGAAGAATTTTTGTCATTCAGTCGGACACTCCGCGTGCCTTCTAATCTTTATCTTAATTACTGTACCGTGAGTTGCGAGAGAACAAAATTTATAACCAGTCTAAAGACATTGAATATCGTTATGTTGAACCGTTAGGCGGCGCTCTACTCATAAAGCTACCTTTTATGAATGTAATGTGAAGGCATACACATGTAGACTACTATATAGAATTACCTATCAAGTAGTGTCGGGTCATGGTTGAGTGATTTCCTTGGGCACTGTCATCCGAAACAGGTTGGACTATACGATATTGGAGAAGTCTGGGAGTACTGTGTGATGTTTCGATGAATTCTCTTGGATTATAACAATGACAGACAACTCGAAAGGTAGGTGCTAAAAATAAGTTGATTTTCTACAGGTGACCCTCTATAAAATGATTATATTGTCACATGTGTGTAGATCTATATAGATATTGTATGTAGTGGGGTAGGATTCACTCTTTATACAGAATTATAATGTACTGTTGACTGAGCCCAACCCATTTTTTCGTTCATTCCCATTCTATCAAATTAAATAACAACAGCATTCAAAGCGTACGTGACTTTGGGTTTAAGTTCGGGATTTTTACTGCTATATAGACCGATACATAGAAAATCAAAATATTGACAGTGACAATATTATCCTTTAGACCCGTTTTGTACACATGAGTAATTGGTCATTTAACTGTCTTGTATATGCTAAACTCCAGTGCTAAAGCTTAAAGCATGAGCAATTTCAAATGTTCTTGTGCTGTCAAGTGTGAATATAACGTTTGCAATAAAACTGTCATTGAATTTAAAATTCATAAGATAAATGATCTCATGAAATGTATTCATATTATTATAGAGGAAAAGATTATCCTTATTTAAACAAGTTGTGTTTTTAAAATCAAAGATCATATTGTATTCACCATCAGTAAACTGTTAGATAAAATTTGAAATTGTTATCACTAATACTATTATAGTTGAGGTGGTTACCTATTAAAGATACATTATGGGAGATTCAGTAATGAGTTGGCAGTTCTCACTATAATAGTTAAAAACTAGATAATGTAAAGGCAATTTGGTGAAAATTTCATTCAAATTGATCCACTATGAACCGAGAACTAAGCGACTGAAATTCCCAGAAGCCTTGGTCATCATTACTAAAGTCAGTACGATAAACAGCATAGTCTCAATTATCCATTTAATCGTTTAATCGAGAAGGAAAGTTATGCAGTAAATCGGCTTACAATCCACTAAAGATCGCAGGCTAGCGCTGCCATCTAGAGTTGATTATGGCCTGGATAGGTTAATTAATGTCTAATTAATAATTTAGATAACATTTCAGGCCTAAAGAAAGACCTGAAATATCTGCTGCTTTTGACACGGTAGATGCTTCTATTCTTTTACTTAGACTTCATTTTAAATTCGGTATTTGTGGCTCTGTATTAAATCTTTTAGAAAGCTATCTTGTGGGTAGAAAACAGTGTATTTTAGTTGATTGTAAATTGTCATCTGAATCTGTTTTGTTATCTGGGGTTCCTCAAGGTTCTGTTCTTGGTCCACTTTTATTTACCCTTTATACGTCACCATTAGGGGATATTGTCAGAAAATATGGTCTCCGCTTTTATATGTATGCCGATGATACTCAGTTATATATTTCATTTACACCTAATTGTCCACCTTCTTTCAATTTATCAAAATTGCAACTTGAGAACTGTATATGTGAAATCAGAAAATGGATGTCAAAGAACTTTCTAAAATTGAATGATGATAAAACCGAATATTTGTTATTAGGCTCAAGGCATCAATTAAGTAAATTTGAACATGTTATATGAAAGGGTGCACAATAAATATGCTGTAATAATAATGATAGTTAGTTAGATTGTATATTAACATGAGTTTGTATCATAGTGTATTAGATTGTATATTAAGCTAGGGTTGTGTATTGAGTTGTATATTAAACAGAGAGTGTATTGTCTTGTGTATTAAATAGAGCATGTATTGGGATGTGAATTGAAGATTTTAGTACCAAGTTGTGTAATGATTAAACAGTGTATTAGTTTGTGTATTGGAGATACTGCCTATTATAATGTTGATTTGGTTGTGTATTAGACTGAGTGTATTCTAAAGGGTTTTATGGAGCTTCATAAGTTTAGCATGAAATGCTTAATAAACAGTATCTGCATATCTTATTTTGCCCCTCACAATATTAAACATATTCCCCAAATGGTTGACTTTGCACAATAAAGCATAATTTAGGGGAGGGGGGTCTGCATTCCACTTTGTGACTAACATGCATTAATTTTTTTTATTTTAATAATTCGCTGATGCAGAGGGGTTTTAGTAGTGGGAAGAAACCATACAACCAAGAGAAACTCCCAAGGTTAGGCAGATGAACCTTATCTTTCTGGTGTACAAGCCTGAGATTATAACCACAATGCTTGTCTTAATGACAGACATTGTTGTTGTTGTTTTGATGGAGGTCAATTTAAAGATTTAATTATCAATTAAATATGGAAATAAATAGATATAAATACATCTTAAAGTGTGGAAGGTATAAGACTTGGTTGACCTGATTTTATTTTTCCCTTTTATCCTGAACATCTTTTGATTACACTGTTATACTTGAGTAGGCAGTAGGAATTCATATTGGTCATTCTTAATCAAATGTAAATATTATGATGTAGACAACTTTATTTCCTTAATACATCATATTAAATCAACTTGTCTAATTAAAATATCATGTTATCCAACTTATCATTTTTACATTCTTTTCTAATTACTTTCAAATTAAAGTGTTATAAATCTCCAGCTGTGTTTGAATGAAATGGTAAAAAGTATCCCCCAAAAAATCAAAGATTATGATTTTATTTTTTCTGTCTCTATGTTATCTTCTCATATAATAAATGAAATCTTAGTTTGTATAATATAAAATGGGACAGGGAACAATATAACATTTACAAAAGCATATTGACCATGACGTATAGGTGAAACAAGCCAGATCGTTATCCATGTGTGAAAAGTATGTACCATTTTAATGTAAAAACTGTGTTATGATGTAATTAAGCTCATCTGAGTTATAAAAGCAATCCTTCATGAAGAAATGGTGGAAGTGGACATTAAATAAAGCTATTTCACACTTAAAGAAACGCAAGAAAAACCTATAGAATACATACAGTTTAATACACAAACAAATAAATATTATAATCTTTAATACCCAAACCAATATACTGTTGAACAAATACACAATATGGTACTAAAATCAAATTCACAACCCAATACGCACTTTTTGTTTGATATACAACCCAATACACTTTTTGTTTGATATACAACCCAATACACTCTTTGTTTAATATACAACCCAATACACTCTTTTATTATTAGTTTATATGTCTAAGACACATAAAGATGGTAGTGTGAAGTCAGTAGAAATCAATGTAACTCGTATTCTTTGAACGGTATATTATATGGTAGTAATTGGGACATAATTAAATAAAACACACTATGGATGACAATTACTTTCAACTATAGTAATTAAACTATAGTAACTGTAATCCGTAAATAATATTTTATTTGATTCAAATTGATCAGTCTGTGTGTTTTTTGGGTTTTGGTTTTTTTAGATTAAAGTACTTTTGATTGTGTATGGTTTAAACTATTTAGCCTTTAATGTAGTATGTCAGGGTTTTGAAAATATCCAAGTGCTATTTTTAAAAAACAAATGCAATGATAAAAGATTAGTATGTTCGTGACAAAATGACAGACACCAGAGGGAAGTTTGTGACAAAATGACACACCAGAGGGAATGTGCCTGTCTGTGATTCCTTATTCATTCATTTCAATGAGTAGGACTGTGTATATAGAGGTTTGCTTACTTTGTGTATTGTTGAATATGACTTATAGAACATACTAGATGATAGCTATTTGACAACTTGAGATGTGAATGATGTTATTTTGTCAGTTTTTGTCGGTGATTAGTAAAACTGTTTTTTTTTTTGTCAAAATTTTTATTATCCATAATTATTTTATGAAATGTGTAGAATGTGCATATCTATAACATATCTTTCCTTCTCAGCTACTTTTTGCAATACAGTGGACGCTATTGACCTAAATAATCTGTTGGAGGTCCTTGTCGACCCACCAAAAATCGAAGCACTTGTAGAGCAAAGTATTTTGCATGAAGATTGTCTGAACTCTTTGAAAATTTACTGCAAAATCTGTATCTCACCATAAATGGACAGATTGTCAAAACATTCTAATTTCTACATACCCCATCAATTCAGAAATTGACTTCTTATCTACTGGCAAGGTGATAGCACCTCTTTAAAATTTCCTTCTATTGTAATTCCCATATCTTGATTGTATGGAAGATGGGATTGTACATTCTCTACTAAATTTAGAATGACAGTTTGACAAGTTAGTTTTCTTCTATTACACTGTTTCTGTCAGACAGACAAACAATGTCATAATGCACCTGCCAAACTTACATACTATATACCAGTTAATATCTTCATTTTCTAGTCATTTCTAACAATTGTCCTTAAATTGTGGCAAAATTTCTCCAGGGTGTTGAAATGGTGTGCCATTACATTAAGTGGACATTCATATTCCTAAGAGAGAAAAATATTGATAGACCTGTGTGCAAATGATTTTTGGATTATAAAATAAACTGCAACGAATCTGTAGATTCTGCCTAGAGCTTCAGAAAGAAACTACTTCTTATTCAAAACACAATTTACAGCAAGATTAAAAAACTTGAGGAAGAAGGGAAAAGCAGAGAAATTATATGGAAATTCACCATATTTAGATCAAGCACTCAAATGTAGCTACGGTCTATCAGGACATTTGTGATAAATACAATCCATAACCCCACCATGATTATACTGAATGTTTTACAGTTTTCTATAAAATGAGGTGTTCATTATTCTCTGTCAAATAATATGACTTTTTAACTTTTCACTGCTAAGGAATGTCGACTTTTATTAATTTAACAATGATATTTGTTAGTTTTGTAGGCCATATTTTTTTTCTAAACAAACCACATGCACTCTTTCCATGGAGTTGAAACAAGCTATATTATGACCATCTAAAAATTGAATCTTACAAACCACCATGTTTCTCAAATACAACATCTGAAAACTGGAATTATAACAGGTTATTTTTATAGTAAACAATGTTATTAAGAGATAAACAATGGCCATTATTCAAGAATATTTCAATTACTGGAACTAATACCTTTTAGAATTTCTGAATTAATATGCATATTCAACATTTAATGTTCTAAAATATTGATTATTCCAGCTTCCATACACTCATAGATCTGTTCAATTGAGAAATTCAAAATGGCTAAGTTAGAACCTTAG